TTATTTATTTTTAGATGGAGGTGAAACACAGAAGGGAGGGGAGGGACGGAGAGAAATATCAATGTGTGGTTGCCTCTTGCACGCCCCCTACTGGGGACCTGGCCTGCAACCCAGGCATGTGCCCAGACTGGGAATTGAACCCTCGCAGGCTGGCGCTCAATCCACTGAAACACACCAGTTGAGGCCATATCCAATTATCTTGATAGCCTTGCCAGAATTCAGAACAATACTTCCTCGTGCTGTCATCTTGTCCAGGGCAGGGGAATCACTAGGTTGTTAATACAGTAGCTTGGTTACCCAGGCAACGCACCCGCCCACTGCCTGGCCAATGACTCAGTGATTGGAGGTCTCTGGTGGACCCTCTGCCTGCTCCTGGAGATACTCCCCTCTACGGGCATTTGGAAAACATTCCTGTGGAAATAATTTACCCCCAAAAAATGAAAACTAAAGATGTGCCAGGATTCAGGGTGATGGTTATTACTCTGGCACTGAATAATTGGGAGAGTGCTGTAGTTATATGTGAATTATTTATTGGCAAAGTTTCAGTTTTCATGTAAAAGTTGAGGGTCACAAGAAGGACATTATTGTGTATTTATAAAACTACAGTATGGCTATATTTTATGGTAACTTCAATTATAAACACTTGAATTCAGGTTTCAGTGACTTTTTTTTTTGGAATGACATGAAGCCTTGTAATTTAAAACTTTCTAAAAATCCTTACTGTCTCACATGATCAACTGTGTAAATTGTAAACCGTGTTTGTTATTTTAGGGTCACATTAGCTGGAGAGACATGACAATCACCTCTTGTTAGGTTTGGCCTTGAATTATGCAGGTTTGGGGTGGTGCAAAGTCTTCAGGAATAAGCCCCTGGCATAAAAACCCAGCCATTCTGGAATTGGTGAATGGATGGATGGATGTGTTTGTTCTTCCAGAACATCTGGTCACCAGGGAATGCACAGCTGCCCTCATCACTCAAGACACAGACATTCATAAAACATCCACTATGTGTTAAATACTCCGAGACACCTGAGTATGTCCCCTTCCCCTAAGAGGTAATTGCAACCTTTTTAAACAGCAGGAAGCTTTCAGGGTCTGCTTAGAGCTTTTGATCAGCTAGACCCACTGCACTGTGGATCTTCCCTACATTTCTAACCTTACATGGAGTTGTTGGCCCAGTGGGTTTTGATGTTCCAAGTTCTCTAAAGAAATAGGAACTCATATGAAAAATCTTTTTTCTTTATTGGTGTCTGCCTTGCTTTCTATAATTTCATCTCCATAATGGCAAAGAGTGAGTGAGCTGAATCAAGTCCATATGTTGCCTGGGTGCAGCCCACGGTCTGCCCAGCTGAGTCACCCATGATCATGGAATCCCTGTTGGGTAAGACTCTGCCAGGAGACCACACCATGGGCCGGGGGACCTGTTCTTCCCGCTCTGGACCTGGCCCAGAACACAGGGCTGTGTGGCACCAAGTAAAGACTCCTGTAAGGATCACCCGACAAGGAGAAGTATCTACTTCATTTTTTTAAATTTTCATTTATTTGAGAGAGAGAGGGATTTGTTGTTCCACCTACTTATGAATTCATTGGTTAATTCTTGTACGTGTCATGACTGGAGATGAAATGCACAACTGGTGTATCAGGGTGATACTCTAACCAAGTCAGCTACCTGGTTAGGGCCACTTTTTTTTTTTCTTAGCAACTACAGAGAATTAATCCCACTGTGTGGATATATCTAGTTCTTATGACCCCTTCCCCCAACTATCAGACACGTACGTTATTTACAAAAGTGATCGTATGAGGTCCTGAGACCCATGTGGAGAGGCCCAAACTCAGCTTGTAAAGGAAACCACAAGGATTTCATGAAACCACCCAGGCCAATCAGCTCCCAATGACTTTTGTGTTTCATTACTACTGAAAACTCTTCAGTTTATTCTGCAGGACAAGAGAATGAAATGAAAAAAACTCATCTAGTTGCCTCAAACCTTGATTCCAGTCACCGGGGGTGCCTGGGGTGCCATGGAGAAGGGCGGAGTTGCCAAGTTTGCTCCGAGTACACAGGCCTCCTCTCCACCCCTCCCACAGGGCGTTTCTGTCACCTGACTCATGGGGTAATAAGCCTTCTAAACACAATCCTTATAAGTCAAGTGATGTATTTTTTATTGATTGCTTTTGGAGAAACTTAGGGGAGAGAGATCAAGTTGTTTTTACTCATTCATGCATGCATTGGTTGTTTGTGACCTGACCTGGGATCACTGCCTTGGTGGATGGGGACCATGCTCCCACCCACTGAGTCACCAGGATGGTCCCAGTTCCAGGTCAGGTGGGGAAGTACACTATTCTCTGCCCACCGGACCATTTCAGCAAATTAGCTACTGTACTGTAGTTAAATAACATGTATGTGAATCAAGAGTCTGTCAGGGGGCCGGACACAGAGAACACTCAGTGACTGACAGTAGTGAGAGCTGTTACGTTCGGTTCAGAGGGCCCAGTTCACAGGCACATGAGTAGGATTCTACAGGCTAATCCACACCAAGTACTTAGGACAGACCCAGAGAAGTGCAGTTGGTGGTATTGTTGCTGGGGGCTTTTGGGAGGACCCAACAAATTTCTAAAACACAACAGAAGCTTTAGAATGTATAGTAAAAATAGCAAAGGCTTTATTAATTTAACATTTTTTTCTTTTATTGTTTCTCGTGAGAGGGGAAGGTAGGGAGAAAGAGAGGGAGAGAATTATCAGTCGGAGACAGAAACATCAATTGGTTGTCTCTTGCCAGATTCACAACTGGGAACCAAACCCACAAACCAGGCATATGCCCTGACTGGGAATTGAACTGGTAACCTTTTGGTTTGTGGAACATGTCCTGTTGTTTACTGAGTCACACCAGCCAGGGCAAAAATAGCGAAGGCTTTTAGAGCACCATGATCCAATGTTGTAGTCAGAGGTAACTATGACAACTTAAATGAATTAAAATTAAAAACACATCAGGGCACATACAAGAATTAACCAATAAGTGCATAAATAAGTGGAACAACAAATCGTATCTCTCCATCTCTCTCCCTTCATCTTTGTAAAATCAATTAAAATTAAACACCGGTAAAAATTCAGTTCCAAGGCTGCACTGGCCACGAATCAAGTTCAATGCCCCATGTAGTCAGGGGCCCCCACATGAACAGCACAGACACAGAGCTTTCCGTCCCTGCAGAAGTGCTGGGGGCAGCCCTGCTCCAGCAGGTCCCAGCACGTGTCATGGGAACCGTGTGTGAATTAGCTCAGGAAACACCTAACACCACAGGGCAGGTTTCCTCACTCACTCTCCTTACAGACGAGGACACCGGGGCTCAGAAAACGCCCGCACTGGTTGGAGCACACAGCTGGGGCGTGAGCCTGCGCAGAGCTGGTGCCAGAGGTCCTGCTCCCAACCAGATCCAGTCAGTCACCTGCTTCTTCCTGATCTGGCAGCCCTGCTGGGTGGTTCCTCTTCCCTTTACCTCCTCATCTTCCTCCTACCCCTTTCCTTCCTTCCTGTTCTTCTTTCCCTTCTCTTCTGCCCCGTCCTAGCTCTTCTCCCTTCACTTGTCCCTGCCCACCATGTCCCAGTGCCAGGGTGGAGAGGCTGGGGGAAGCAGTGGCCATGTCCTCCCTGCCACACAAGAGCAGCCTGAGCTCTCCCCAGGACAGAAAGCTGCTGAAGCAACCACTGAGTCCTTGGACACGTTCACAGGCTCTGGGTTTTTTTTGTGGAAAGTATCAGAGCTCTGAGCCTTCGTTTCCACAGCAGAAATCCCAGGATATAACAGGACTCTGAGTAGTAGTTATTGGCCTATTTATTAATAAATACTTTATGTTACTTTATCCTTTATAAAGCACCATTCTTATATCATTTGATATACATTATCGCTAATATATCACTATTATCATCAACAACGATGCATCGATTGGATAACATGCCTGTCTGACTGAAGACACCTTATTTTTGCAAGAATTTCAGTCCGAAGGGGGTGAGTGGGGGGCAGGCCATGACCTGAGGAGGATTCTTCTAAAACTGAAAGAGCTCTATGGGGAGGGAGGCTGACTTGCTGGTTTTTTGGGGTGGCCCTTTCCCCCCATCTCTGAGGCTGAGGCTCTGGGCCCAGCCTTCTGGTCTGACCATTCCCAGGCCAGGAATCCAGGGCTGGGAGGGGCAGGTGGCCTCATACCTGGGGCAGGATTGCTCGGTTCTTGGGGAACCAGTGGGGAATTCGCTCCTCCTCCCCGCAAGCGTTGACACTCATTTTGGCAAGACAAAGGGTACCTGTACCTTTTGTACCTGCTGACTGTTTAAAATGATGTTAGTTGCTGTTAAATAAAAGTTTTCTTTAAAAAGAATTTTACATACCGCTATGAGAATCTGTGGCATCTGAAGGAATTACTGTTAATTACACCATAGTCTGAAAAAAAACCTTTTGTTCCATCATGAACCATTTGGTAGCTTCGACTGGTGCAGGGAAACTGGGGGCTGGGTGTGGGGAAAACAAGGACACCCACGGATGGTGACACCCTAATCTCTGGACCAAATTTCGCCCTGTGTGACAAAGGGAGAATGTCCCCGTGGAGTTCACCTTCCCTTCTTCCTTTCTCCTCTCCCTCCTCTTTACTATTCAGGAGATGGAAACCCTGAATAGTAGACCCTACACTGGTGCAGACAGTACGGTCTGGAGCCATAGTGCCCCGACACGTTCCCAGATACCGGACCTGTATGGGGGCTTGCTTTACACAGGAGGGGAAGCAGCTGGTGTGCATGGTGAGGTCTGTCCCCAGTACCCACATCTCTAAGACCTAACTGCGCAGGACTTCTCTTGCATCCTAACCGTGAGCTCCAATGTCACCTCCGTCGCTGAGGCATGGGCTCAAGACCCACCCAACGGGGTTTTGTCTGAGATCCCACGAACCTTCCCCAGCCCCGCCCCTCCTGGTGCATCCTACCAGTGCATCCTCCTCTGGTGTCGGGTGAGGTTCATGTTTCCGCTGAAGGTTTTCCCACACTTGCCACACTCATAGGGCTTCTCTCCCGTGTGGGTCCGCCGGTGGAGGGTGAGTGAAAAGTTCCTGATGAAGGCCTTGCCGCACTCACCGCACTTGTAGGGCTTCTCGCCGGTGTGGATGCGCTGGTGCAGGATGAGGTAGGCACCCTGGCTGAAGGCCTTGCCACACTGGCCGCACTTGTAGGGCTTCTTGCCAGTGTGGCTGGCCTGGTGTGCCACCAGGGAGGAGCGCCCAGAGAAGCGCATCGGGCAGAGGGAGCACTTGTAGGGCTTCTCCCCGGTGTGCACGTGCTGGTGCTCCCTGAGGGAGGCGTTCTTGCTAAAGGCCTTGCCGCACTGGCTGCACTTGTAGGGCTTCTCCCTGGCGTGGCTGGCCTGGTGTGCCACCAGGGACGCCCGCGCAGCAAAGTGGATTTGGCAGATGGAGCACTCGTAGGGCCTCTCCCCAGTGTGCACACGCCGGTGCTCCTTGAGGGAGGATTTGTGGCTGAAGGCCTTGCTGCACTGGCCGCACTTGTAGGGCTTCTCGCCAGTGTGGCCAGTCTGGTGTGCCTGCAGGGAGGAGCGCGCCACGAAGCGCTTTTGGCAGATGGTGCATCCGTATGGCTTCTCCCCCGTGTGCACGCGCAGGTGCTGCGTGAAGAAGAAGTTCTTGCTGAAAGTCTTGCCACACACGCTGCACTCAAAGGGCTTCACCCCCATGTGGACGCGCTGGTGCTGGATGAGGCAGGCCTTCCACCTGAAGACCTTGCCGCACTGGCCGCAGGTGTACGGCCCCTCGCCCACACGGGACCCGTGGTGCAGCACGAGGGACGAGCTCTTGTGAAAGGCCTTGCCGCAGTCTCCACACTCGAATGGCTTCTCCCCGGTGTGCGCCCGCTGGTGCTCCATCAGGTGCACGCTCTGGCTAAAGGCACGCCCACACACGGCGCACATGTGCGGCTTCTCCCCAGTGTGTGTCCTCTGGTGCAGGACGAGGTGCATTTTCTGGCTGAAGGCCTTTCCGCACTCCCCACACACATATGGCTTCTCCCCGGTGTGTGTCCTCTGGTGCACGATGAGGTGCTTCTTCCTGCAGAAGGCCTTGCCGCAGTCCCTGCATGCATGTGGCTTCTCCCCCGTGTGTACCCGCTGGTGGATGGTGAGGCACGACTGCTGGGTGAATTTCTTCCCACACGTGGCACATGAGAAGGGCTTCTCCCCAGTGTGGATTCGTTGGTGATTCTTCAGGGATGAGTTATAGCTGAAAGCCTTGCTGCACTCCCCACACACATAGGGCTTCTCCCCTGTGTGTACCCGCTGGTGGATGGTGAGATAAAACTGCCGGGTGAACTGCTTCCCACAAGTGGTGCAAGAGAAGGGCTTCTCCCCAGTGTGGACTGGTTGGTGCTTCATCAAGCACGAGTTATATCTGAAAGCCTTGCCACAGTCCGCACACTTGTAGGGCTTCTTCTCTGCACAAAGTTTGGAGGGAGAAGGGAGGCTTGAAGTACCTGAGTCCTTCCCACACATGGTGAACATGTGAGTTCCCGCTCCTTTCAGTCCTTCGGATCTCAGTGGGGCCAGCCTGGGGCTTTGGTGGACAAATGCCTTAAATTCATGACATTCTGGGGCTAATGCTTGGGACATGTCCAACTGCCCCAGACAGGTCCCTAGGCTCCCCTGTCCACACCCCGCCTGGTCACTCTGTGTCCCAGCTCCTTCACAGGTGGAACCGGTCCTCGGTGATTCTTCTGCCACCACCACAGCAGATGGTCTGTCTTCCAAGACATCATCCTGTGGGTCTGATTCTTTGATGTCAGGTGTGGTCTCCAAGTCTGAGGGAAAGAGGTGACAACACGCGTGTAGTTAACAACGCTCAGAGGGAAGACCTTTCCAAGACAGGACAGGGCACAGCCTGAGAGCAGGGGAGAAACTGTCGTGGGGGCAGAGGGAGAAGGGAAGCAGTGAGCTGAGACAGTGAGGCGGACAGAGGTGAGCAACAAAGGTCCCCCTTGGGAGTGGGTGCAAAGCTGGCCGGGGGGGCTCAGAGCTGGGCAGACAGAGCCCTGGAGAGAAAGGGCAGGAAGGCGGGCTTGGAGGAGCTGATCGAGGCCCCCACAAACCCAGTGAGAGTTTACTGCTCACAGCTCCTGGCTTCCAGGCCCCGTCCTGTCCTCCACCAGCCACCTGTGCTTCGCAAATCACTGACGTTTATTACAAATGATAAAGTAGAGCTGACGCTCATGTGGGTGCTGGTTGTCCTCTGTTCTCCCCACCCCCAGCCAAGCTCCCGCCTTCCTACACTGCCCAGGAGCAGCCCGGCCCTGACGGCTGGGTCCTCACCCGTTTTTGCACACTCATCCCTCCCTGCTGACCACAGCCGCTCAGTCCCCTACTGAGTATGGCCAGTGGATGCCTCATCTCTGTTTCCAGCCTAGGGGACTGTCCCTGTTCTGCACATGGATATCAGGATCCCTCCCAACATTTAATGTTAGAGCAGGTGCTGGATTGGGACACAGAGGCTGAGGGTAACTTTCCAGAGGGAAAAGGTAAGGAGGGTCACAGTGGGTTTGTTTTGGGGCCCAAGGGTCTGAGACAAGCTGGGGACAGAACTGGCCTGTGGCTGCAGGGACTGAAGAGAGAAGAGTCTTGGTTGTGAATATGGTCCCAAACTGGACTTCATCAAGTTACAAACTTCTGCTCATCCACGAAATGGTGCTGGGACACCTGTGTTCGCACATGCGCAAGAGCAATGGTTTGTGGTGATGGGAGGTGATGTGACTTTGGGTGGGAGGCACACAGTGTAACACACAGATCACTTATCCTATAAATATACACTTGAAACCCGTATGGTCCTATTAGCCAATGTCACCCCAATAACTTAATTTAAAAAACAGTGACATGAACCCCTTTTAATCATTCACGGCAATTAATTAAAAAGAAACAAAAGGCCTAAATAAAGAGCTAAAATTCTAAAACTCATAGAAAAAACAGGAGTAAATCTTCATGGTCTTCAGTAGGGCCAATGGGGCTTCAGATACGGCACCAAAAGCACAAGCAACATCGAAATAAATAAACTGGACCCATCACCATTAGAAACATTTGTGTTCCAAATGATGCCATCGAGGAAGAGAAAAAGAGCACCCGCAGAATGAAAGAAATAGTTACCAAGTACGTATCTCATAAAGAACTGCCACCAAGAATCAACAACAAAAGAGTATATAAAGAACTTTCAAAGCTGAATAATAAGGAAGCAAACAACCCACTAAATACGTAGGCAAAAGACTTGAACCAGACACTTCACCAAAGAGAATGCACTGACGGCCGAGAAGCACCTGGAAAGGCTCTCGGTACCAGCTGACAGCTGGAGTCGGGTAGGACGCACACCCACGAGAATGGCTGCAGGGAGGGAGACTGAGCATGTTCAGTTCTGGCAAAGACACGGAGCAATGCGATTTCGGCTGAATGCCGGTGGAAATAAAGACCGAGACATCTGCTTTAAAAAAAGTCTGGCAGTTTCTGAAAAAGCTAATTATGCACCTACATATGACCTAAACTTTCTCAACAGAAAGGACAGCATGTGTTTACAGAAAAATGTCTGGAACTGGAAAGAACACAAATGTTTATCATTAAGCGAAGGGTTAAATACATCATGGTCTCTCCATGAAGTAGAATATTACTCAGCAATAAAAAAAAAAGTGAACAACTGCCCTGGCCGGGTGGCTCAGTTGGTTGGAGCATCATCCGTGTACCAAAAGGCTCCAAGTTCAATCCCCAGTCTGGATACATATGGGAGGCAACCTATCTATGCTTCCCTCTCTCTCTAAAATCAATAAACATATCTTCAGGTGAGGATTAAAAAAATAATGAAAAAAAGAAGTAAACTATTGATACATAAGGATGATGTGGGTGAACCTCAAAGATGATGCCAAGTGTAAGAAGTCAGATTTAAAAAAGAAGAGTATGTGTCATATGGTTCAATACATTTGAAATTCTAAAATAGGCAAATGAAAGCACAGTGACAGAAGGCAGACCAGTGTCTGCCGGGAGAGGCAGGGTACGGAAAAGGAAAAAGAAACTTTGGGGGCTAATGGATGCATTCAGACCATGGCAATGCTTTCCTGGGTGTATGGAAGGTGGACCCCCCCCCAAAACAGGAATAGTAGTGCAGGCTTCCTTCTAGGTGAGTGTCCTAGGAACCTACCTGTAGCAGAGTACCAGCTGGCAGTGTTGTGTGAGGCTGAGTTTGGCTTCAGTGAATTTTTTCTGAAGACTCCTTGAACAAGTTTTTCTGTTGCATGATGGGTGATTTATATAAGTAGCATGACCCAGTGCCGCACCCTCCCTATTCACCTGATTATGCTTCAAGTGGTTTCTCTCCCTGGGTGCGAAAAGTCCTCAAAAGGAAATGTTTTGCGGATGTGGAAGAGGTGAAACAAAAAAATGGCAGAAGCCCTAAAAGGTATCAAAACTGATGAGCTCAAAAACTGTTTTGAGCCCTAGCTGGTCTAGCTCAGTGGATTGAACTGAAAGGTCACAGGTTTGATCCCCAGTCAGGGCACCAGCTGGGGGTGTGCGAGACGTAACCTACTGATGTTTCTCTCCCTCTCCTTCTCCCTCCCTTCCCCTCTCTCTAAACAGAAATAAATAACATCTAAAAAAAAAACAAACTGTTTTGAGCAGTGGAAAAAAGTCACGATGGTGTATTGCATCAAACTGACACTGCAGTAAATATGACTGAAGTTTAAACAAGTAAAAATAAAGACACAATTTTTTACAAATAAATTCCGATATCTTTGGGTCCCCCTTCTTACACAGATATCAAAATGCACCAAATTGTTTGCATTAACTATGTGTAGTTTAACTATAGGTCTGTTGAACCTCCACAAGCTGTTAAGGGGACCGTACTCTAGTTATGAAAGTTAGCGTTTTTTCTGAATAATATTATCTAGGGAAGTCTCTCTGTGCTGGTGACTACAATGGGCACTCATCCTCAAGAGCGCTGTGATTTCCATCATATTGCTACACCCTGATTTGTTTCGTCAGTCTCGTAGGTGGGCAGCTAGGATATTTTTCTTCATTTTTCTTCCTATGACAAACTCTGCACACTTATGGGAAAAAATGTAAAGGATAAGTCCCAGAAATGGAATCGTTTAAAATTTGGTTGATAATGCCAAACTGTCTTCCAAAAGAGTTGCCGCAACCTCATGCTCCTAAATTGAAGAGGCCCTTTCCCTACATCCTCATAATACAGATCGCTGTCACTTCTTAAAAAAATATTTTATTTATTTATTTTTAGAGAGAGGGGAAGGGAAGGAGAAAGAATGGGAGATAAATATCAGTGTGTGGTGCTTCTCATGTGTTCCTTACTGGGGACCTGGTCTGCAACCCAGGCATGTGCCCTGACTGGGAATCGAACTGATGATCCTTTGCTTCACAGGCCCGTGATCAATCCACTGAGCTACACCAGCCAGGACTTTTTTTTTTAAGACTCACCTGAGTATTTTCTTATAGAGGGAGTAAAAGGGCTTGGGGGCAGGGGGAGGCGGAGAAGAGAAATATCGATCAGTTTCCTCCTGCATGTGCTCAAACTGGGGATCAAATTCACAATCTAGATATATGCCCTGACCGGGATCGAACCCACAATGTTTGGGTGAACAGCACAACACTCCAATCAACTGGGACAGCCAGCCAGGTTTGTTTTCTTCTTCAGCTCTGTGTCCTGCACAAGCAGGAACTTGTGACCTCCACAAGCTGTTAAAGAAAAGAGACTGTGAACTATGGAGCTGTTCACAGGAAGACACCTGTATTAATGAGAATCAACTGGTACTTCTTTGACTATTAGTACAGTTTAAACATCTTTTATAAAGTCTAACTCCATGCATATCTACACCTACAAACTGCATGCTCATAAGTCTGGTCCAACTTTCTATCATTCATTTGATCTCTTTCTTATTTATTTCTAGGAGCTATTTATGTATTTATAATCTTCTGACTTTCATATATGTGATAAATCCTCTTCCCCACTTCATCACCTATTAACTTTATTTTTAGCTTCAAGTAACTTGAATGTACTACCTAGTAACATTTGTCCACCTTTTTTTTTTTTTTTTAAATTTCTGTGCCATCCTGAAGTGACAGGCAGATAGTAATGCAGTGAAGCTGCCCCTTACCCAGCGAGACCAGGTTCCAGTAGGTCTCCATCATCACGTCCCTGTACAGGTCCTTCTGCGCAGGCTGCAGCTGCTGCCACTCCTCCTGGGTGAAGTCCACGATCACATCTCTGAACCCCACCGACCCCTGTAAGAGGAAGCGCACACCACTCACCGTAGGTCAGGAGATGCAGCCAGAAGGGCCGAGAGGATCAGGAAGGCACACTGGATGCACCTGACGTGGTGTCCACAAGGTGCGGAGCTCTGAAGGGCCTGACCACTCAGTGTCCTCAATGCCTAAGTACACTGGGTGGTCCTCACCCAGGCAAATTAACTATGGGGCTGTTCACAGGAAGGCAAACACAATTCAAAAATGGGCAAAGGACCTGAATAGACACTTCTCCCAAAGAGGACACACAGATGGACACATATAAAAAATGCTCAGCATCACTAACCTAGAACCTTGGCATATCAAGATGATGCTCTAATCAACTGAGCTACATGGCCAGGGCCATGTATATATTCATTATTGTAAAGTATTTCTTGTATAGGAGGAAATTTAGAGAAAAATACCACAAAATAGCCGCCCATTAGAACATCATGAAACATCACAGCGATCAGGGATGTGTACGGGTTCCTCCCGGTGTCCCCTTCCTGACCCCTGGACATTTAGTGCCATCTGCCCAGTTCTGAAGGTCCCTCATCCAGCACGTGCTGCCCCGGACCTCTGTAGGAGCCTTTGTCACACTTGACTGAACATGTATAAGCCACCACTTCCCAGGTACCTGCTGGAGTCTCCTGGGAGCTCCCAGGGTAGGACAGCTCACTCCTGAGCGACCCTGTGCCCTGTGTTTAACAAGAGCCAATGTCACGACAGTACCCTCCCTCATCAGGGAGGGCAGAGACCCAGGAGAGTGGGCCTGGGCCCTGAGGGGAGTTTGGGTGTGAGGAAGGTCATCCCGGTCCAGGAGCCTGACCCTTAGGAAGAAAGTGCAAGAGGGTGAAATGACTCACCAGGGCGTTGGTTGTCAGCGGCTGGGTGGCCATCTCTCCACTGCCCATGCAGACCAGGGCAGGCTGGGCGCAGGGGGAGAAACAGAGGCACAGTGAGAGGCACGGTCGAGGCCTGACCCACAAAGCAGACAGGACAGACAGACAGACACATCCACTAAAAGACAGGCAAACAGGGACAAAAATACACATTCACAACCAACACCCATGGCATCCAAGGCACTTGACAAATGTCTCTGATTTAATCCTCCTCACACCCTACAAGGTGGAGGCTATTTCCACTCACCCCATTTCACGGATGAGGAAACTGGGGCCAAAGAGATAAACCGGATGCCTGAGACTACAGCTGGGATTGGAGCTGGGCTGAGTGCATCCAGGTCCATGTGCTTGGTGCACAGGCCATACCCACACATTGACATTCCCCAACACGCACACGCACGCGCACACTGCTATTCCCGCGGTTGGGAGGAACAGGACTCTGCTGCCTCCCTGGGTCTGAGTGCTGGCCCCAGAACACACCCCAACGCCCCCACCATCCCCTGGGCTTCCACAGATCTTGTGGGGTTATTGTGAGGCTCAACCAACAGACATGTAGGGAGCCTGGAGCCTGCGGCACAGTCAAGAACTCGGTCCTGCCCTGGCAGGGAGGCTCAGCTGGAGCATTTTCCCGAGTACCAAAATGTGGGCCTGATCCCCAGGCGGGACGTGTATGGGAGCCAACCGATCCATGTTTCTCTCTCTCTCTCTCTCTCCAAAATCAACAAATATACAAACGATGTTTATTGTAGTGCTGTTCCTAGAAGCAAGACACCAACTAACCAACAAGCAAACCATGAATAAGGGGTATAAAGCCGGGTATCCAGTCACCACTAGGAAGCAGGAGTTATGTCATGTCCTTGGGGGCAGTGACTTTATGATCTTCTTTTAAACAGAATTTACTTTTTACAAACGTATTCTTTACGGACTTGAGGTCTCTGACTCCTATCCCTGCACCACGACACGCACACAGATGCGCACACAGAAGGACCCCGGAGAGACCAAAACAGCCAGCTGGCACACACACGAGGAAAGACGAGACACGGGAGGCCACCTGGACACAGGCGGTGACAAACACAGCGACAGCACGGGAGTCTCAGCACAACACACACACAAACACACACAGCCACAGGCATCACCTTCATATGCATGACCTTCCCCAATGCGTACCTCATCCAGAGTCTACACTTCCCTTCCACGAACTCGCATCCCGTGGCCTCCCGCGCCCGCCCAGTCCGCAACTGGACTCACTGCGCAGCTCCCCTTAGGAAAATAATGACAGGCGCCCACTAGGCCCCCTGTCGCACTGCGCCTGTGCAGACGCCGGACTACACTTCCCAGAAGCCCGCGCCCCTCGGGCCCCTCCACTACCCAAAGGACCCAAACGCTGGAAGCACCCAAGAAGCAGTTGCTAGACTGTCTCCCAGTAGTTTCCTCGGCTCAGCTTTCCAGAAGGCGGGGTTTTTTGAAAGGCGTGCAGGGGAGCGGAAAGTGGGAGACGAAATTGAGAGCAGGGGTGGGGTGGACTGCGGGAATGGGGGGCCTGCAAGGGGGCTGAGAAGGAAAAAAAACGGTAGAGGGAAGATGAGGAGGGAGGCGGGCAGGGTCACCCAGGCAGCTCAGCTTGCTCCAGGCTGCCTCTGGCTTCCGTCTCCCTCCTGGGACCCGCAATCTCAGCGGCTAATACCAGGTGCGCAGGCATACATCCTCTTCTTCCCCTGGATTTATATTAGTTACAGGTGCGGGAAGGCCAGAATTGCTAATTAATTTACCAAACTTCCGTGCGCCCTGGGAAGATCTGTCCCCACCCACCACCATCCCTCCTTTCCCCAGGCCAGGCTGACCTGCGCCCAGTCTCGTTTTCCAGACTACACTGACGGGCCTCTTCAGTCCCGCACCTCCCCACTGTGGCTGCTCTGCCCTCGGTGGCGCCTTTGCCTGCCTTCCCCTGGTTCCGCCCCCAATTAGGTTCCCCCGTCCGAGTATCTTGCTAGCCTTGCAGGTGCTCAGTGCCCTACTTCTTACTGCCACTATCTTGCCTGGGGACGGGCAAGATAGTGGCACCCAGAGCTGGAGGCTCCTTACCTGAGGCGGGAGGTTGGGGGGCGGGGGCGGGAGAGGGTGGATAACAGGCTTGTGCCCCGAGCTTTCAAAGGGCAGGAGTTCCATTACCAGACAGAGCGGCCTGTCCACTGCCTCGCCTGGGCCGTGTTGGTTCGAATCTCTCCCGTGGTGGTCCCTCCTGTTCCTGCCCTCTACCCGCACTCAGCGGTCCTCCACGCTCTGCGTATCATTAAGATGTACAAATTCATTTAATTCTCGCAACCAAGCTACTTTCCAAATGAGGACAGTGATACAGACAAGGAAGGTCAAAGGAAAGGAAAATGGGGGGGCTGGGCTGGCAAAGAGGCCTCCTGGCTGGGGAACGCTTACACTATGAACCACAAAGCCATGTGCCAAAGGATTTGCTGAATGACCAGAAAAAGGCAAACAAGTAGCTGGCTTAGGTAGTGACTAATTTCTCCCTTCCCTCCCTCCTCACTTGAAGATGTTTTATTGATTTGAGAGATTGACAGAGAACCTACTGTTAGTTAGATAGCAATACCGATATGACAGCCTCTCTCAGTGGAACATCCAGGTACGGAGTTGGTTTGGGGGACTACACAAGGAATGGAGTGTGGGCTCCCACTCTGAACTGGGCTCTTAAGACTGGGGGAGTCCAGGGTGAGAGTCCAGCTGGTACCCAATTTTTACATGTTCTTTGTCTCCCTCTGCTCCTTCCCTCCCTCCCTCCTAAAAAGTAGATTCTGATCATTTTTTTTTGTGTGTCACTCTGGAAGTCTGAAATGATGGGCAACTTTTTGCGCATTTAGGTATTTACAAAATAATTCATGCATTTAAAAATTCTTTTGTTCCTTCATCTGAGTCTTGTTCTCAATATCTTTGTTCTTGTACTGCTTATTAAAGTGACATTTTCAGGGTATCTCTATTTTTGTTCAAGGAAGGAAATACTCAGATTAAAAAAATCATTTCAACTAATAAGTTTACATAATTGATGGAGTTTATGGACCCCCAAGAAAACCTTACATCTGTTTTACGTGTTTTCAAAATAATGGGTTCTTTCTAAATTATTTTGATTTTTCAACAATAATATTCATTTTAAACCACTTATATCTCTTCAACTTGTTGAGGCACATTTTCTCTCTTAGATCACCTTTAAAATTATTCAGAATTTGATCTCTTATTTTTCCTGAAAACACATTTTAAAATGTCAATATAATATTGAAAACTCAGAAATATTGGGTAGAAAGACATACTCAGCGGTATCAGTCACGATTTTTAAATCACAGTAACTTTTAGGAACCATTTTCATAATGTTTAGTGGCAAGAAGCACAGCCCACAGATGATCACTTATTGACTTTATGAGGAGTGTTCCAGAACATTCCATGAGTTCCAAGCTCCCTGGATACAAGGGGCATAAACAGTTTCATGTGAAGGCCATGCCTGGCGTGGGTGGTGGGAGTTTTTCCCACTGTGATCTAGACATTTTGATTCCCTCACCTAATCACATGGCTCGTGTCAACATCCAGACCATCTTCCTGTACAGGTCAGTCCTTCTGGGGTAAATGGCCAGAACATTTCTCAGTTGTCAGAACTTCTTTCAGTAGTAGCTCTGGAGTCTCTCACTTTTTATAAGGACACCAGTCCTGTCAGGTTTAGGGACCCACCCTTATCCTTTAATCCCCTCCTTAAAGGCCCTATTTCTAAATATGTCACATTGGGGTTTAAGGCTTTTAAGGCTTCAGAAGCATATGAATTTTGGGGGTGGGGATACAATTCAGTCCATAGCCACGCCTCTACAACTAAATATGGAATTCAACAACATCCCACTTTAGCAACCAATGAAATGAGACTCTCAGTTTGGTTTTGAGCAGTTTTGTTTCAAGAGAGAGGAGTGCGGGGGAGGGAAAGAGAAACATCAACTGGTCCCATTTATTCATCTATTCATTAGTTGATTCTTGTATGTGCCCTGACTGGGGGTGGAACCCATAATCTTGGTGTATCGGGACAATGCTCTAACCAACTGAGCGACGCAGCCAGGGCTTGAACAATCTTAACAATAGGACTTCAGACATTGTAAGACATCTTTCAACAACATCATACAAAAACCTCAGTTGAAATTTTTTGCCTTGATGTGAGAGGTTGATAAACTGAGTTTTAAATTACCCAAAGCAATTGGATACCAGCATCAAATAATTACTTTGGACTAGCATTCCTCTTCCTCTTAAAATGGTCATTATGAGGACCGTACACCTCTGTTCTGTCAGGAGACTGCAACTCATAAAATTCACTGGATGTTTTTGTCCAGTGCCCACACTTTGAGCTGTTATTTTCCTAGGCTAGAAAAGAAACAGGAGTCTCACTTGCCCCATCTCACCCCAAACCAATACGTAACGCCTCAAATTTTCTGAAGATCCTACTGCCTATTACTCAAATCTCCACACCAAATCATTAGTTAAGTTTGTTCAATGGCAGGCAAATGGGGAGTTGGAAGGATAATGAGTAGTCTGAGAGATTACAGACTTAGAAAGCACAATACCTAGGGTGGCTCCAAAGATCGCCCCCTTCTGGGTGTTGCCGCTGGACAACACAGATTCAACTGCATTCAAACCCCAGAAAATTTGGTCAGCCAGGTTCGTCAGAACCACATGGCAGGGATGGCCAGTTAATCAAAGAATAAGAGATGCTGTAGTCAAAAGGAGGCAAGGAACATGGGCAGGAAAATCTCAGACATTCCACACAGCAACATCTTCACGGATATGTCCCCCTAAAGCAAGGGACATAAAAAAAAGAATAAACAAATGGGACCGTATCAAATTAAAAACATGCATAGCTAAAGAAAACAGCATTAAAATAAAAAGAGAGCCAACCCTATGGGAAAACATATTTGCCAATGACACCTCGGACAAGGGCTTGATCTCCAAATATATAAAGAACTCACATGACTCCACTCAGGGAAGAAAAAAAAACACAATTAAAAAATGGGCAAAAGACATTTCTCCAAGGAGGACATACAGAGGGCTCGGAGGCACATGAAAAGATGCTCAGCATCACTAGCCATCAGAGAGATACAAATTAAAACCACAGTGAGATACCAACTCACACTGGTCAGGGTGGCCAACATAAACAAATCAACAAACAGCAAGTGTTGGAAAGGATGCAGAGAAAAGGGGACCTCGTGCACTGCTGGTGGGAATGCAGACTGGTGCAGCCCCTGTGGGAGACAGTGTGGAATTCCCTCAGGAAACTAAAAATGGAACTGCCTTTTGACCCAGCAATTCCGCTGCTGGGATTATACCCTAAAAACCCTGAAACACCAATTCAAAAGAACCTATGCACCCCAATATTCATAGCAGCATAATTTACAAAAGCCAAGTGCTGGAAGCAACCTAAGTGCCCATCAGCAAACGAGTGGATCAAAAAACTATGGTACATTTACACAATGGAATTCTATGTAGCAGAGAGAAAGGAGTTTATGCCCTTTGCAACAGCATGGATGGAACTGGAGAGCATTATGTTAAGTGAAATAAGCCAGGTGCTGAGCTCAGGACAAATACCATATGATCTCACCTTTACCTGGAACATAATCAACAAAAGAAAAAAAGCAAACAAAATATAACCAGAGTCATTGAAATTAAGATTTCCCCTCTGGCAACCTAACAATAGCCAGAGGGGAGGAGGGAAGGGACAGTGGGGAGAAGGGTTTCCAGGAACTACTATAAAGGACACATGGACAAAACCAAGGGGGAGGGTGGAAGCAAGGGAGGGAGGTGGGTTTGGAGGAGGTGGGGAGAAAATACGGACAACTGAAATAAAATAATTTAAATTAAAAAATAAAAATAAAGAGGCAAGGAAAACCAGGCAGAGAAAAACAGGAAAGTACATAATTTAGGTTTTATTTTTGATATTACAATTAATTAGTTTATACTGGAATACAGTTCTGAAATTTTTTCCTCATTTTGGATAGCGCAGTTACCTTTCTATGCCTCTATACACATTTATATTTCTTTTTTAAACAACTGCATAATTCTATTGAATAAATACAATAAATACCCATTATCCTAATAGTTTACCGCTTAAAATTTTTTTGGTCGTTATATAATTACCTACCTTTGCACACTTTGGTTTCTGAGGAATATTGATTCAAACACTGTACACATATGGCAACTTATATAAGTGACAATGGCATTGTCTTTTCACACATTCACCAAAACTGAGTATTATCACTCTTCTGTGATTTATTGGGAAAAAGTAGATACATCATCATTTTATTTTGCATTTCTCTTATTACTAGTGGTATTGGGTAATTTTCATTTGCTGTTTTTATTTCATTTTGTTTGAACCGGCTGTTAGCTTTGTCCGTTTTAATACTGAGTTGCAGATATTAGTATTACTGATTCGATCAGGATTTTCCCTTCTTAGTTGCACGCAATTTCTTTCAGCCTCTCGTTTGTCTATGAACTTTGACTCTGATGTGAACCACAAAAAAAACCAGCTCCTAAGTTACGTGCAGTGCTTAAGAAGGTATGTTTTAAGCAAAGACCATATTCTAGGTTTGTCTTGTATGTTAATATCTTACATATCCAACTTTAATCTTCTAGAGCGTCATTACTGTGCCAGGGATATAGCTGTCTCTCCAGAGAGCTAAGTGTCCCACGGCCATCTGATCACTGTTTTCCCCAATGCAACGAAGAATCCTTTTTTATCATATATAAGGAGAGTTATATAAAACCTCCACACACTCTGGATGAGCCTGCCCATCCGGCTTCCATGCCAAAGTCAAGAGGGAGCCCCAAAGCTCCGGTCCCCTCACATGGCCCTCTGTACTGCGTCAGCAGCAGTCACGATGGTACCCAAGAGCCCTGGCGCTCTAGGTTAGAGTACTCCAGGGGTGGGGGGAGCCACTGAAGGACATGGGATTTCTTTCCGGGTGATGAAAATATTCAGAAATTAACTGTGGTGATAGTTACACAACTCTGAACATAAGTCACCAAATTGTATACTTCAAATAGCTCATCTGTATGGTATGTGAATTACATCTCAGTGAGGCTAAACCACTATTGCTAAAGAGTGAACAGAACTCTCCTGACCTTTGTTAAACCATGAATTCTCTCTTCCTGCACCACTCGAAGTGTCCTAACTATCTGCCTTGGGACCACTGTGACTATTCTCATTACGCCCTTTGTGTATAATAGTTCCCTCTTGTTCTTCCTTCTCCTCTGCCTCTAATGCCCACATGTTCTGGGGGGGAGTTAGGCACTCCTTCCACAACTTCCTAGATCATTCTCTTTTTTTAAAGATTTATTTTTTTAGAGAGGGGAAGCGGGGAGGAAGAAGAAAAACATCAATGTGTGGTTGCTTCTTGAGCACCTCCTACTAGGGACCTGGCCTGCAACCCAGGGATGTGCCCTGACTAGGAATTAAACCAGCGACCCCTGGTTCACAGGCTGGCACCGAATCCACTGAGCCACACCAGCCAGGGCCCTAGCTCCTTCTTTAGATCATTTCTCATGATGGTACGTATCATGTACTTATCACGTCACATGTATTTCAGTTTTTTCTGTCTTCTCCCATTTGATTCTCCATACATTTTCCACCCTGCTATATCCTCAGCACCTAAAACAGTGCCTAGCACATCACTAAGAGCTCAATTAACAATTAAATGAGTAATACATTAACTACACACTACTATATTCCCTGTTATGTCACAATTCTAGAGAAAGTCAGAACTGGCTTGTCGGCTTAAAAATATATTGGGATTTTGCCCTGACTGGTGTGACTCAGCAGATTGAGCAGTGGACTGAAAACCAAAGGGTTACCGGTTCAATTCCCGCTCTAGGGCACATGCCTGGGCTGCAGGCCAGGTCCCCAGCAGGGAGTGCGCGAGAGGCAACCACACATTGATGTTTCTCTCTCTTTCTCCCTCCCTTCCCTTATCTAAAAATAAATTAATAAAATCTTAAAAAATAAATTAAAAAATATATATTGGGATTTTTATTGGAACATCAATGAATTTATATCTTTGGCCAGACTGAGTCTTTCCATAAACAGACACATCTACTTTTGAAAAAGTTTAACTACGTTTTAACATGTGCATTTATAAGCTACTTATATGTAGTATATGTTTTGGTGTCAGTCTTTAGTTTCATACAAGATGGGAAGCCTTATTTTATGCTCTAGAACAATGTAAGTATCTCAGAAATTGTCTGTGGTGCATTTCTACAGGTCAAAACTACCTGTAGAAAGTACAGTGCCAAACTACCTTTTTCAGTTTATTTCATGGCTTTAATCTAGTTGTTTTCTAGTTTATTTGAGTTTGTTTTTAATACTGTCCCTGGCTAGTTGTACATTCTACCAAATGCTTCTGTCCTAATTAACCTATTTTCACTTAAGTGCGAGGTGAAGAGAGTTCCTCATCAACAATGCTACGTGTCCTCATGTTTATTCATGCAGAGGGAGCAGTAAGCCACCATGGTACTGGTGTATCAGAATCTTTCGATTTGGAATGTGTTTGTCTTTCATACCTGCAGCAAAGTGAAGAGTCCTCTGTCCGCTGTAAAATATGCAGGTTTCTTAATCCTGAGCTACTGGTTTCACTTTACTTGTGGCTGAACATGACCGTTAAGGCAACCAACCCTAATCTTAATGGCACTAATTATATACGGTAAGGAGTAAATGGATTTTTTAACACATTCTTCAAAACGTGTTTTGTATTGAAAAGTAACATGAATACAATTTTTTATTTTTAAGAGATTAAGCTGGCTACAATTTAAATTATGCACTTGAGGGCAGCAAGAGGGAAAATGGCAGTAATGCTATTGCAAAAATCTTGGACTATGATGATGGGACACAGACTGGGAAAAAGTGGATCGATTCTAGAGGACTGTGTTTGGGAGATTGAATCTAGAGGACTTGGTGGTATGGGAGGTGAGGAGGAGGGAAGCACTGAGGATGACTCTCCAGTGTGAACTCGCTGATGATGAGCTAGATGTACACTCTGCCTGAAAGCCTTTCCACAAGCCTCACATCCATAGGGCCTTTCTCCGGTATGGATTCTCCGATGCAGCGTAAGATGGGCAATCTGGCTGAAGGCTTTGCTGCATTCCTCGCACTCATAGGGTTTTTCTCCTGTGTGAATTCTTTGATGCAGGGTAAGGGATTTACGATGGCTAAAGGTTTTCCCACATATGTTGCATTCATAAGGTTTCTCTCCTGTATGGCATCTTTGGTGACAAATCAGGGACGCCCTCTGCCTGAACGCCTTCCCACATTCGAGGCATTCATATGGTCTTTTTCCAGTGTGGAGTCTCTGATGTTGAACAAGATAGGAGCCATCACCAAAGGCCTTTCCACACTCGGTGCACTCATAGGGCTTCTCGCCAGTATGAACCCGCTGGTGTTGAACAAGGTGTGCGATTTGACTGAAGGCCTTACCACATTCCTTACATTCGTAAGGTTTCTCTCCAGTGTGTATTTTCTGATGCTGAGCAAGATGTGCATTCTGGGTGAAGGTTTTGCTGCACTCCTTACATTCATAAGGTTTCTCCCCAGTGTGAACTCTCTGATGATGAGCGAGGTGTGTGCTCTGCCGAAAGGCTTTCCCACAGTCCTTGCATTCATAGGGTTTCTCTCCGGTGTGAACTCTTTGATGCAGAGTAAGAGAGCCACGGTGGCTGAAGGCTTTCCCACAGAGCGCACATTCGTAAGGCTTCTCTCCTGTGTGAATTCTCTGATGCACCGTCAGGGATGAGCCGTGGCTAAAGGCCTTCCCACACACGTGGCACTTATAAGGTCTCTCTCCGGTGTGGATCCTCTTATGCTGAATAAGTCCTATGTGATCTGTGAAGGCCTTCCCACAATCGATACAGTCAAAGGGTTTCTCCCCAGTGTGATAATATCTCCGATGTCGTATGAGAGAAGCATTCTGCCGGAATGCCCTCCCACAGTCCACACACTCATAGGGTCTTTTTCCAGTGTGAATTCTTCGATGGTGCGCCAGGGATGAACAATCACTAAAGGCCTTCCCACATTCAACACATTCATAGGGTTTCTCTCCAGTGTGGACTCTCTGATGTTGAGCAAGGTGCGCAAGCTGGCTGAAGGCTTTAGTGCACTGACGACACTGATACGGCTTCTCTCCAGTGTGAACTCTCTGATGCTGGATAAGATGAGCATTCTGGCTGAAGGCCTTCCCACACTCAGTACATTCAAAGGGCTTTTCTCCCGTGTGTATTCTCTGATGCTGAGCAAGGTGGGCGCTCTGGCTAAAGGCTTTTCCACACTCAATACATTCATAGGGTTTCTCTCCAGTATGAACTCTTTGATGAAGCGTAAGGGTTGAGATTTTGCTGAAAGTTTTCTCACAGTCTTTACACTTCAGAAGTTTCTTTTCTCCACAGACTTGCTTGTGTTTTTTGACAAATGAATGTGTTTTTAGGGTTTCCTTATTTGTGCCAAAATTGCATATTCTCTCTTCAATGGGGAATATGTGTTTTATGTAAGATAATGTATTCAGATGAAAAATTGTCCTGGATTTGTTAGAGTGGCCTTGTTTCTCGATAAGTGCATCTGTATGACTGACTGTCTCTTGCCTAAAATGTGGCTGCTGACTTAGCAGCTCCCTCTCTGACAGGTCTTCACCCTTCTTGTTTTCCCCTAATGTGGAGCATTCAAGGTTATCATAGCTTGTAAGTCTTTCCATTATCATTACCTGGGATAATTTTTCTTCATAAATGTCCTGGTTTTGAGATAACTCTCTGGTCATCCACATATACTCCAAGTCTGAAAGATATTAAGAAAGCAAATGCCTTCTTTATTTAATGCTAGAAGATTGGAAACTTCCCAAAGGAAAACAGGTTAATCACACAGTTACTGAACCCACAGAGGTTAATGTTTTTGACAGCTCTTAGATGAAGTTAGGCAATGCAGTCTAATTTTACATATCTGGAATAAAGCCTCCTTATCTAAGGTATATTATTTCCATGTGACTTTTAATTTAAGATTTTATAGCAATACTCGTTATTGAGATTTTTCTTCTTGGGTGCTATTTTGGTTAAGATTTTGGTGTTAAAAGTTATGCTGTCTTTAATTTTTTCAAAGTTCTTCTTATTCTCTGTCATAAAATATTTTAACCAACATTGATGATATTTTTCCTTAAAGGTTTTATAGTATTTATTTGTGTAACTATTTGGAGTATTTGTTTTTTGTGGGAGGCAATTCTTAGATAACTCTCTACATTTCTTAACTTGTAACTGGTCTGTTGAAATTTTCTCTTGTGTGGTATCAGTTGTGGTCCCTTATAATCTCCTAAAATACTATCTATTTAATCTAAGTTTTGTTTTGTTTTTAAATTTTCACCTAAGGTTGTATTTTATTGATTTTAGAGAGAGAGGAAGGGACAGAAGAGGAAAGTGAGAGAGAAAGAGAGACAGAGAAACGTCAATGTGAGAGAGAAACATTGACTGGTTGCCTCCTGTATGCTTTCAATGGGGGATTGAATCCACAACCTAGGTACGTGCCTTGACCGGGGATCAAACCCACAATTTCTTGGTGTACGGAATAACAATCCAACCAACTTTGCCACCTAGCCAGGGCAGAAAAGTTTTAAACAAGTTCAGAAAACTATATACCAATTTCTCTATAGAATTCAGAAATGTTGGGAGTCAGAATGATTATGGCAATATGGTTCTTGAGCAAAAATAGGTCAACATCAGTGGAACATAACAGAATTCAGAAACAGACTATGGAATCTGTAGGAAATCATAAAGATACAGATAGTACAACAAAGTAGTGAAGAACAGAATAGCCACTTTTAAAAATGGAGTTAGAATAAGATGTTTTAACTTGAGAAGGATTTTGAGAGATGTTTTCCAACACGTCTTAGAGAGAAGAAACATTTTAAATTTATTATTTAAAAAATATTTATTTATTTTTAGAGAGAGGGGAAGGAAGAGAGAGAGAAACATTGATGTGCAAGAGATACAAAGATTGGTTGCCTCTCACATGCCCCCAGCTGGGGACCTGGCCTGTAACCCAGGCATGTGCCGACTGGGAATAGAACCAGCTCCTTTTGGTTCGTAGGCTGGCACTCAATCCACTGAGCCACATCAGCCAGGGGTAAATTTATTATTATTATTTTTTTATTGATTGATTTCAGAGAGAGACAGACAGATAGACACTGACTTGTTGTTCCACTTATTGTTGCATTCATTGGTTGCTTCTTGTATGTGCCCTGACTGGATCAAACCTGTAACCTTGGCATATCGGGATGACTCTCCAACCCACTGAGATACCCAGCCAGGGCTTGAGAAAAACATTTGGAGACTAGTTTTCCAGCTCTAGTAATCCTGTACTTACCTGGGCACAGGCCTTCTGTCATCTCTCCATTCATCACCCATGGCTCTTTACCTTGCTCCAATAAGGAGATCATATCTGGTTTAGACAGGCAAAGACCTGCATATTTAAAAAAATTGGTTATGCTGTGGCTATTCTAGAACTACAACTCAGTTCAAATGGGATCGAGAGAAGAGGGATGTTGTAGGAAAATGCTGATAAAGGCATGCAAGATGACGGAGGTAGAAAGATTCCTATGGGGAGGTGAAGGACGTAGATACTCTTACCCACTGAAACCAGGTTCTTGTAGTTTTCCAACATCACCTTCTTGTACAATGTCCTTTGAGCAAGATTCAGCCATTCCCACTCATCTTGGGAGAAGATTATGGCCACATCTCTGAAAGTCACTAAATCCTGAAATGACACAAATATAATCTTGCTCAGACAGTGTTCATGTCTGCATTCAGCTGGCTCTAGGGTAAAGGATTATGCTGCCCACACTGGGTAAAAAGCCACGTGTGTAAGTAATTGTACTGTGGGGTTAACTGATCCAGGTGTGGTGGTTAGTTACTAGACAACTTTTCTGCCCAAGGAAAAATAAAAAGTAAGAGAGACACTCTTGTAAATGCTCAGCATTTACAGTCCTGTGAAATTTATGAGCATTTATTTTTTTAAAGTTGACTGTATGATATTGACTATGAAATTTATGAGCATTTTTTTAAAAGTTGATTGTTGAATGTATAATGCATTCAAAACAATATCATCAAGTTTTAAGTTATTTTAACTATTTAGGAGGTCCATCACCTTTCTATGTGGAGAAATTAAAGGGCTCTGGGAACATCTGAAGGAAGAATGCTGACATGATAAACACTGATTTCAATCTACACAACATATTCTAAGAAATCTTAGTGTTCTTCAGGTGTTAAAAGGTGTGCTTAAAGAAAATGAAAGGAAAAATGCCTAACAACATTCTTTTATTTTGAAATAACACTATATTTGAATAACAAGAGAAGAGCGCATTTGGAAAGTTGTTTTTTGATGATCTGCCAAGAAGTATCAGGAGATCATATGAAGTAAGCACATCAGCCAATGTGTGTTTTCTTCTTCCATGGGCTGAATTTTTGAGCCAGCTAGCAAGTGGTACCAATCATCCATCTACTCCATGGGTGCTGGCAAGTTTTCCATTCCTTATTCTGTTATTTCACTTACATCAACACCTAAGAATAAAAAGTCAGATTCTTTTAAGGAATTCAGACTCTGGTACTGACTAGCTGGGTAATCTTGGCTAAATTAATTAACTCCCCTGTGCCTTGGTTTATCCACCTGAAAAATGGGAATAATTTTATCACCTCCCCCACAGCAGCATTGTGAAAATTAAATAAAGTTACAGGCTTTGGATGGAGGAGAGATGGGAGAGAAGTTAAAGGAGGAGGAAGAGGACAAAAAGGGAAACATTTGGTTTAATACTTAACAAAAGTTTTACTTATATTTTACCGAATTTCAGAATACTAGAGTAGTTAAAAACATAGTCTCTAAAGCCAGACCACCTATGTTCCAAATCCTATTCTGTTATCTTATTAGCTTTTTTAAAAAAGATTTTATTTATTTATCTTTAGAGAGAGGGGAAGGAAGGGAGAAAGAGAGGGAGAGAAACATCAATGTGTGAGAAATACATCAGTCAGTTCCCTTTCGCGTGCCCTCAACTAGGGACCTGCACCCCAGGCATGGGCCCTGACCAGGAATCGAACTGGCGACCTTTTAGCTCACAAGCAGCACTCAATCCACTGAGCCACACCAGCCAGGGCAGAGAAAGTTGTTTTAAAAGGAAGATTTCTGCCCCTGCTCTCTGAGCATTAGATCCCTTTTCCATTACCTGAGTCTGAATCTAAAGGTTTCTCCTGTAGTTCTTTGTATCTGAGCTAATATGCACTTTTATGCTAGAAGATACAGGGAGGGGGAAAAACGGTAAACATACTACATGTTTGATGGTACTGCATATTTTGTGCTCTTCTTCTAATTTACTGCTATTGTTTCTTTTTAGAGACCCCAAACTGCTGCTCCAGACACCCTCTTCTGGTTGGACAGCAGCATTCGGTGGGAAATGCAGGGTGGCGCTTGCTCAGTCCATCTCACCCAGAACCAGGACTTGCCCAAAGTCAGTGTTTAAATGATTATTTTTAAAGTTAATATCTCACTGGAAATAAAAATCCTCATGTTCAGTACTTCTTCTGCATCAAACATCATACTGTAGTTCTTCAGCTAATATATGTGTATGTATTTATGTGTATGAAAAACCACATCATGGACATAGAGGCAAACAGAGGCACATAGACCTAATGCTTATAAAGTACTTAGTATGTGCCAGACACTTCTCTACACATAGTATATTAACTCATTAATCCTCACAATAGTCCTATAATGTAGTACTATTATTATTATTTCCATTTTATGATTGAGAAAATGGAAATTAAGGTGATATATGTTGTATATAGTGGATCTAGAATTTGAACCCATGTAGTATGGTTCCAGAGTCCACGTTACTAACCTTTATGCCATACTTTGACGCCCTTAAAATGTTTCCCTCACACTAGGATTTTAGGTCATCATAAATTAAAATTTGATTTTCTTCACTCAGAAAAATATTCGGATAATGGGATTATCTGTTTGTTTTCTGAAATTTGTGGTATCAAACACTTAGGAAAAAGAAGAAAAGAGAAAAAATGTTTCCCTCTGATGATGACAATGCTTTTGTTTAAAATGTTTAACTGCTCTAAGAAGTAAGTCCCCTTGGTAGTACATGTTTTGGCATTATATCTGGTAAGAAAAGGAGTTTGGCTTTGGTGTAAGTTGCTTCTTGTGACTCTGATATAAAATGAAAGCATATTTTACTGTTCTAAGTTTTTTTCCCCCACATGAGGACATTTTTTTTTTCATTGCTTTTAGAGAAAGAAACATGGATGCCAAAGAGAAGCACTGATCGGTGTCCTCCTGTAAGCGCCCAGACTCAGGACCGAACCCACAACCTTTCGGTTATGGAACAAAGCTCCAGTCAATTGAGCTGCACTGGCCAGGGCCTAGGTTACCCTTGATCTCCTCCACTTCCTTCAAGAAGCAACTCAGGGACCACTTCCTCAGGGACCACTTGTGATCAACCCACTTGGTTGATTCCAGTTCTCCCAACCTCTCCCCAAGGAGGCAAAATGGAGATAAAATAAAGTAGATTTCCTCCTGCCCCGCTGTGGCCTGTCAGCAGGCTTCACCAGTCCAGAGGAAGGGGCGCCCTTCTCTATGCAATCAGAGGTGCTCTGTGGGCTATTAGTGACCTTTCTCCCCTGCTCCACAGGAAGTCTACTCTCCCGTGCAGCACAAGTTGTGTTGTATAAATAAATGGTCACTGACTTTTAATTTCTTCAACAGATGGCAAGCTGAGAGCCAAGAACTAGGCAGATGCCCAGTTCTTCTTCAAATTTCCTCAAAGGACTTTCTACGTAGTCAAATTCTTACAAAAAGACTGCACGCAAGAGAAGGGCCCAGGTGGGTCATTTTTTGAATGAAGAATAAACACTAAATAGGAAGAGGAGGAAGCTCTGAGATGACACTGGGCTGTGAGTCTGTCCCTGTGACCACACCACTCATCAGAAAGGGAGAAAACAGAAACCAGGCCCCAGGGTGGAACTACTAGGCAGGCAATTTTCAGAATGAAACATTACCAAATCCTGAAAAGCAAAACTATTATAAGGAGGAAAGAGGGTATACTAACTCACCAGGGACATGACTTTAAGAAGTTCAATTCCCATCACCCCCTCCTCTTCCTGGCTCCTCATGTGAAGGGCTTTACCTGAGAGGGCAGAGCTGGAGGAGAAAGGAGTAGTGAGAGATTGAGCAACTCTAAGAACCGTAGCCCAGAAACTCCTTCCTTCAGCTCCGTCTGTTTTCACTCTCACTCCCACCCAACCTCCCCTCAGTCCAGGCACTTGCTGGGAGTCCTGTAATTTATAGCTGGGTTCTCTGCTCCACTCTGGTTTTCAGGCTGAGCACTTCTCCCGTTCCCAAAGCCACCCATTAGTTAACAACAGAGATGTATCAGGTGGGCTGCATATATTAATACTCTGATTTAACCTTCACAGTCTTCAATGAAAATAGGAAATACTATCAGTCAGGTGGCTGAGTTGGAGCTTTGTCCCGTACACCAAAAGACTGCAGGTTTGATTCCCAGTTAGGGCATATACCTAGGTTGTGGGTTTGATGCCCCTGTCAGGGCGTGTACTGAAGGCAACCAATTGAATTTTGCTCTCACATTGATATTTCTGTCTCCCTTCCCCTCTCTCTAAAATCAATAAACATATCCTCAGGAGAGAATTCAAAAAATAAAAAAGTCCCTTGTGCCCTCTAAGCCAAGTTTCCTCCACCAGGAAAAATTCTGATGCAATTGTGGTTTCCTTCCTCTAAACACTGCTCTCTGAAAGCATGATTATAATGATAATATTGGGTTTGCCAAAAAGTCCATTGTTTTTTCTGTAAAATAAAAGACACATTTTCATTTTCACCAATAACTTTACTGGTTTGGATACTTTGAGTATGTCAGCTATCTCCCGCTATTGACTTCAAGTGGGTAGAGGCCAGGGGTGCTGCTAAACATCTTCCAATGCATAAGACAGCCCCACAGCAAAGAATTATTTGGCTAAAATGTCAATAGTACCAAGAAACTTTGCAAACCGCTTTTCACATGTTTGATCAGTCATAGCACCTTCCCCATATACTGCACAAATAATTTATGTTTTAGTTTCATTTTTACCTTTTTTAAAAATAGATTTTATTTATTTCTTTTCAGAATGAGGGGAAGGGAAAAAGAAAGAGAGGAAGAGAATCATGTCTTTATCAGGGGACCTGGCCCACAATCCAGGCACGTGTCCTGTCCAGGAATTGAACTGGCAATTTTTTGGTTCCCAGGCCAGCACTCAATCCACGGAACCACACTAGCCAGGGCTTACCTTTTTTGAAAAAATAAAGCGTAATATGCCCAAAATGCCACATATCTTCTTCCATCTTCAATATTAAAATGGCTGTACAAAAATTCACCAATTTTGGTAAGGTTTTTTCTTTAATGCATGCTGCTATGACAGCTGTCACAATACAAACAAAATTATTTCGAATGAAGTTAAAGACAACTAAGCACTACTAGAGCCATCATATGGAAAAAAATATAACAGACCTTTTGGCCAACCCAGTAAGAGGGGACATCTATTGAGCAGTTACTATGCGGCAGGGGCTATATCACGTGTTTACAGGTATGGGCTTACTTAATCCTAACTCCTGTGAGCTATATCATAGTATCATCTCCATTTTACATGAGAGACACTGGGTCAGAAAATTTAAGGAAATAAAAAATGTAGCCCAACTTGGTAGCTCACTTGGTTAGAACAACGTCCCAATATGCCAAGGATATGGGTTCACTTCCTCTTAGGGCACATTAAAGAATCAACCAATGAATGCATAAATAAATGGAAAGTCTGGCTGGGTGGTTCAGTTGGTTGCAGCATCATCCTGTTTATCAAAAGGTGGTGAGTTGGATTCCCAGTCAGGGCACATACCTGGGTTTCAGGTGCAATCCCTGGTTGGAGCATGTATGGGAGGCAACTGATTGATGTTTCTCTCTCACATCAATGTTCTTCTTTTTCTCTAAAAAATTAATAAAGATATCCTTGTGTAAGTGTTAAAATATAAATAAATAAAGTGGAACAAGAAGTCTGTTTCTTAAAAATAAAAAAAAGAAAAATGCTCAGTGGAGGTTTTGGGGATCTACACCTTTAAAGTTACTAGCCCTCTGAGAGTAGGTTTCAATGGTCAAAAATGGTTGAGAAAACCTACCTTGAGCCCCTGTGGAGGGGATTACATGAGAGCCAATACAGAGCGGGGAGTATGGAGTCAGTGTGTCCTGGATGGGAATCCTGGCTCCTCTTCCTAGTGGTTATTTGTCTTTTCTGTGCTTCACTGTCCTCATCTGTGAGAAGGAGACAAGGTAGTTTCCATGTCACAGGTTCTGAGGTTTGGTGTTAACGCTCCCAAAAGTCTCACAACTGTGTCTGACCCACAATAAGCACGTGGTAACCATTAGCAACTGTGACTGCATGCGGTAAAAGAAACAGAGAATATGGCTAAGGGTAGTACTGTTGTTTAGTTTTTAAATATATGTTTATTGAGTCTACAGAGAGAGGAAGAGGGGATAGGGAGGGAGGGAGAGAGAGAAGCATCAACTGGTTTCTTTACATATGTGCCCTGACCAGGGATGTAACCTTTCATTGTACAGGACCAGGGTCTAAAAAAATGAGCCACCAGGCAGGGCGAGAAGAACTTTTTCTCCCATCTGTGTACTCGCTGGGGTGAGGGGTGAGGACACAGACAACTGAAAGGGAGGAACGGGAATATTTTTGTTCGTTTCCTAGAAGGTAACTGAGCCATAAAACCGGGAACCTCGCCTCCACCCTAGTTTCACCCCACAGTGAAAACGGCACTCCGGTCAATACTGAAGCAATGCCCGAAGAGGGGGTGCTCTCTCCCTAGGTCCTTGGCGAGGCCCACAAAATCTGCGAAGGGTGTGTCCGGTTAGGTGGCGCCAGGCAAATCAACAGCCCTCCCGAATTTCAGCTCCTCGGACCGCCTCCAGGAGTAGCGCTGCTTCCCGCAGCCACCTGTCACTCTTACCTCAGCACTCAGTCCGTGGGCCAAGGGGACGCAGGTAGGTGTTCGGCCGCCCGGTCGGGACCCTGCCCCAGCCTCCGAGGTTTGGCCCACGCTGGCTCCTGGGCTACTGGGTCTGAGGAGGGTGGTCTCCTCCGCAGGGATCCAGCTCGCAGCCGCGTCAAGCCCTCATGCCAATTCCCACCGTCCCTCACCAGCGGCTGAGACCAGCACTGATGCAAAAATACTCGTCCCTAAGCTCCCCACCTGTCGCATGTTCCACACTTAAACCCAGGACCCTTCGCACCAGCACGCACACGCCACAAACCCGCCGTCTGTCACGCCCGCAGCCCCTCCCACTCTAGCCCCCTGCTGATTGGCTCTCAAGTCAATCTCACCGGAAGTGGGCGTGCCCCTGCGTAATAACGCCCCCTTGGAAATGTAATTCTCTTGGAACTGAACCTCTCTGAAAGCGGGTGACGAAGAAGTCGAGCACTGCTCCCCTCTCAGTGTAGTGATCACCGCCTTCCGTCTAAGTGACTCCTCTTCCATAATAGAGCCGCTTAGAAGCCTCTTAGACCCGACCCTGGGTCCCAGAAATACAGTCCCCTTCCACAATACCAGCCAAGTGCGGGGGTTTCTGGGAGTGCAAGCTCCCAGTTCGCAGGCGCCTGGTACCTGGAAACCCAGGGACGGAGATGCATTTGGGAAGCGGGGTCTGCGGCTGCAGCCTTCAGGGTAGGAAAAGTGATTTAGATGTTGTCTGTTTTGTGCACTGGTGATTTGTGACTGGAGTTTGGTAACCTGTCTTAATCAGTTTGCTCTTGCTGGTATGTACTCCTTGCGCCCATTTTGTTCCTCTTGGCTAGAAATCTTCTTTTGCCTTGTGTTCCCACCAACTAAAAAAGTGTTTGGCTTGTGTTTGTTAACCACGGAGACGCCAGAGAAATGTATCCTTCCTCGATTTCTTTGTGTGAACATCACGGAGGCACACAAACCTAGATGCTACCCCATCTGGTTTGCAATATAGCCTATTCATTGCTCCTAGGCTACAAGCCTACACAGCATGTTACCCTGCTGAATACTGCAAGCAACTTAACACCATGCTGAGCATTTATAGATCTAAACAGAAAAGATATGGTGAAAATACTGTCTAAAATATTAAAAATGGTACACCATATGGGGCATTTACCATAAACGAAGCTTTGAAGACTGGAAGTGGCCCTTGGGAGAGTGAGGGTGAGTGTTGTGAAGGTGCTGGACGTTACTGTATACTTAGGCTACACTAAATTTTTTTAAAATATTTTTCTATCTTCAAGAATAAATTAATCTTACCTTACATTGTGTAATCTTACCTTACATAGTGAAAATTACATAGTGTAATTTTCTTACATAAACTTTATTTTTAAAAAAATTTTCCTACTCTTGTAATAACACTTAGCTTAAAAAACATATTGTACAGTCGTACGAAAACTTTTCTTTACGTTCTTATTTTTATAAGCTCTTTCCTATTAAAATTTTTGCATTTATTTTTAAAACATTTTTGTTAAAAATTAAGACATAAACACATCAACTTAGGCCTACACAAGGCCAGGATCAGCAATATCTTTGTCTTCCACTGCTACATCTCGTCTCACTGAAAGGTCAAGGGCAATAACACACATGGAGCTGTCATCTCCTGTGACAACAATGCCTTTGTGAACGCTTCCTGTAGAACCTGCCCAAGGCTCTCTGGAGGAGCTGTCACTCTTTTTAGAAATATGCCCATGGTGGTTTGACCTATTTATTTCATTATAGATTTCTTTTCAAGCAGATAGTGCACAACGTACATTCTTCTCTATTAATGAAAATCTTTCAGTGTTGGGGTCCATGTTTTCAAAACTTTAAAGAAGCTTGTTGAGGTCTGCAAAAGCTTCTGTTAACCTTTCACGGTGAATCTTCTTGAGGATTCTCCTTTTTCTTCTGCAGTTCCCTTTTCTCTTGCCTTGTCTTCAGCTCTGCCTTCCTGTCCCAGTTCCAACAAGCCCTCATTAGTCAGTTCCTCAGGAACCATGCCCAGAAGCTCCTCAGTGTGATCCTCATCCACACCCAGGTTCAAGCTGTTTGCCATCTCAACCACAGCCCTACTGATTTTGGCAAACTCCTCATGTTGGCAAATCCTTTCAAGTCCTGGACAAACCTCTTGAGTGTCTGCTTCCAGATGCTGCTCATACACTCCTTGGTGACATCATCCCAAGCCCCAGCAAGGTTCTTGTTGCAGTTACAGATGTTGTAATCCTTCCAGAATTGCAGCAGTGTCTTCCTCAATTGCAGCGATAGCCTGGGCAAAGGTCCTCCTCAGGTAACAGGCTTTAAAAGCTGCTAAAACTCCTTGCTGCATTGGTTGGATCAAAGAGGTAGAGTTTGGTGGTAGAAATATCACTTTGATACTGGGATGAAGATCACCAATAAAAGGAGGACATCCAGGAGCACTATCAATAATTGAAAATTTGAAAGTTATGTCATTCTCCAAACACTTCTCCATTTTGCTAGTGTAGCAGTTCAGGAGAGCATCTTGGAAAAGAAGCTGGGTCATCCATCACTTCTTATTGCCTCTACAGTACACTGGCAATGTGGGCTTATTGATCTGCTTGAAGGCCCTGGGATTCTCTTTGTGCCAGATCACAAAGGGTTTCCGTTTGTAGCCCACAACATTGCCCCCAAGTAAGACTGTTAACCTGTCCCTAAAAGCCTTGAAACCTAGGATTGACTTGGCCTCCTTGTGGATGGAAGTCCTCTGAGGCATCCATTTCCAGAATTGTGAAGTTTCATCCATATTGAGTATTTGCTCTGGCAAGTAACTTTGCTCCACCATCAGCTCAGCTAGAGTTTCCAAAGATTCCTCATCTGCCTTTATGACAGCGACTCACGACTCACTTTCACGTTATGTGAGGAACAACAGGTCTCGAATCACTTAAACCAGCCACAGCTAGCAGTAAATTCAACACTAGTCAGGTCCAGTCTTTCCACATCGCAAACAAACTTTTTGCTTTGGTTTTGATCGTCATGGTGCTGAGAGGGATATACTTCTGAGCCTGGTCTTCAATCTAGGCCTTGAGAAGTTTCTCCATGACTAATACAGGTCCTTCCTGAATTTTTGTTACTTTTCTTGTCTTCAGTAAAGCAGATCCTTTAACAGCTTCCATCACTGTGTTCTTGTTCTTCAAGATCATAGGTATGGTGGAATGGGACATACCTGACTAGCAAGCAGTAACCATCACTGATTTTCCACCTTCATACTCTTTAATCACTTTTAACTTTGTTTCCAGGTCAACTGCTTGATGCAGCCTCTTAATGGCAATGTTAGCAATGGATTTTATACACTTTAAAGGCTATGATGAACAGACCAACATAAGATTAAGTCAAGCACGAGAAAATTATGCAGTCAAGGGCTATAGCAAACATGAGCTGTATGAGGCTGCTCCAGCATAACAGAGCATATTTACCATCATTATCAAGTATCATGTAATATGTGTAATGGAATGTACTATACTGTAAAGGAATGAAGTACAGTACATTTGTTTATACCAGTATCATTATAAACATGTGAGTTATGCATTGCATTATAATGTCACTAGGTGACAGAAATTTTTCACCTCCAGTATAATCTTATGGGACCACTGTTGAAAAGAAAAACATCCCATTAATGTTTCTTCAAATCACATTGATGTTTCTCTCCCTCACTTCCTCTCGCTCTAAAAGTAAAATTAAAAAAAGAAACTGCTAATATAGTTAACTGATACTTTATTTAAAATTTTAGCATTTATTTTCTTAGGTGAAAGGAACCTTTCCATTATCTTATATTGTTCTTGTGGTAACATTTTCTTTTTTCCTATTTTTTGGAATAACTTATGTCAGGAATAAACCATTTCTTGGTATTTTGGTAGAGCTCACCTTTAAAGCCACTTATCTGAAGAGTATTCTTATAGGATGAGTGGTGCCTGACATTCTGAGCCTTGAATTATTCTCCATATTTCCTTGTGCAATTTTACATTTTCCAAAGAAGTTATCATCTTCATTTAGATATGCATTTGGTTGTTTATCTATTGTATCTAAAGCTATTGTTTTTCTATTCTGCATTCTTCTTGCTCTCTCTCATCAAAGGTACTATTTTATAAAGCTTTTTGAAAATGGAGCCCTGGCTGGTGTGGCTCAGTGAATTGAGCACCAGCCTGTGAACAAAAGAGGTTGCTGGTTCAATTCCCAGTCAGGGCACATGCCTGGGTTGTGGGCCAGGTCCCTGAGAGAAAGCAGCAACTGATGGACGTTTCTCTTACACACTGATGTTTCTCTCCCTCTCCTTCTTTCTCCCTCCCTTCTGATTTCTCTAAAAGTAAATAAATAAAACCTTAAAAAAATAAAGTTGGAGCTCCAGGTTCTGTTGTCTATCTTTTTGTGTTTCACTGATTTTTCTCATGTATTTCTCATGCTCTTTAACACATTTCTTTACTGAAATACATATTTTGTTATTGACCTTTCTAATTTCATGATAAATGTATTCAAAACTTCACTGTCTTATGGTTTCAGCCATGTAATGTTTCATTATGTTTTTTTAGTATTCCTTAATTCCCATGATTTTTAATCCATTTTAACAATCTCTAAATTGGAGTATTTAGTCCATTTACATTCAATGTAATTATTGATGTGGTTGGATTTAGATTTATCATTTTGCTATTTTCTTAATTTCCTGTTTTAGCTGCCTTTGTTCTCCTTTTCTGACTTCTTTTGAACTAGTATTTTCTAGAGCTTTATTTTAATTGATTTTTTAAAAAAGATTTTAGATTCGTGGGCACCCAAGCAGGGACCAGGCATGTGTCCTGACTAGCAATCAAACCAGTAACCTTTTGGATCGCAGGGCAGTGCCCAACCCACTGAGCCAGTGCTAACTGATTTCTACATTTATTATTTTACATTTATGCTGCTTGAGTATATTTTAGTGGTTGTTCAAGGTATTATACCTCCTTAATTTTTCTTTTTTTTAAAATATTTTATTTATTTATCTTTAGAGGGGAAGGGAAGGAGAGAGGGAGAGAAACATCAATGTATGGTTGCCTTTTGTGTGTCCCTACTGGCCTGCAAGGAACTGGTCTGCAACCCAGGCACGTGCCCTGACTGGGAATCGAACCGCGATTGTCTGGTTCACAGGCCTGTGGTCAATCCACTGAGCTACACCAGCCAGGGCTATACCTCCTTAATTTTTCAATGTACTTAAAGTTAATACCATGCCCTTTGCTGTTAAAGAATTTGAAACACATGGCTCTACTTATGTACTTATCACTTATGATACAGATACACGTTACATTTACACACACTACAAAGTCCACAATACAATGCTATAATTTTTACTATAATAATCATGTTTTAAACAGGTGGTAAAAAACCGAGAATGGTAGATTTAAAAATTTTAAACTACACATTTACTACTTTTGGTGCTCTTCACTCCTTCCTAAAGATCCAAGTATTCTCAAGTATTTACTTCAAGCCCAAACAAATTTCCTTTAGTACTTAATATCATGGAGATTTATTAGCAGTAAATTCATGTCTTTTGTTTATATAAAGTCACTTACACCTCCATTTTTGAAGGACACTTTCTCTAGATATGGAATTCTGGGTTGAAGTTTCCTTTCTTTTTTTCTTTCCCAGCACTTAAAAAAAAAAAAAGCCACCCCATTGTACTTTGGCCTCTTGTTTCTGATCATGAAAAGCTAGTCATTATTAATATTATTGTTCCTGCCTGTAATGTATCACTTTGTTTGGCTACTTTCTAGGTTTTCTTTTTATTTTTGGGCTTTAGCAAATTCATAATAATATGCTCAGATGTGGTTTTCTTTGTATTTACCCTGTTTTGGGGGTTTTATGACATTCTTGAATGTGGAAATACATATCTTTCGCCAAATTTGGGGAATTGCTGAATATTCTTTAAGCAGATTTTCTATTTCATCCCTTTTAAAAATTCTGTTTGTAAGAACTTTTGATATTGTCACACAAGTCACTGAAGCACTGTTCATTTTTTCAATCCTTTCCTCTCTGTATTTTAATGTACCTTTTTCAGTTTCATTGATTCTGCCACCTCCATTTTGCTGTTAAACCTATCCAGTTGGTTTTTACATGCAGATACTGTATTTCTCATTTTTAGAAATCCCATATCCAAATTGTTTTTATTCACTGGCTGAAATTCCTATCTGCTTATTCATTAATCCCATACTTTCCTTTATATCCTCTAGAATTATAATAGGGGATTTAACATTCTTGTTTACTAACACCAAATCTGGGTTGTCTCAGGATTGGTCTCAGTTGCTTTTTCTCTTGCATGTGGCTATGTTTTCTTGTTTTTCATATATCTAGTAATTTTTGTTGTATAACATATCATGAAAAGTTAATACATGTAGAAGGATTGTTATGTTACTGTAGAGTACTGACTTTTAAGTTGAACAAAAGTTGAATTTGGTTAAACTCAAATCTCCAAACTGTCTTTTCTGAGTTAGGTGGCAGCTGAAGCAAATGCCTTTCAGCATTAGCTTGAATGCTTGGAGTTTGTCCAATGCTTGCATTTGTAAGGGATTAGCCAAAAATTTTGGACTTTAAAAAACTAAGTTCTGATGAAGACATAATGAAAAAAATCTTATTAGAAATTAAGAGTATAGAGGGTTCTTGTTATGTAGTGGCAGAAAGTTTAGCAATTCTGTTATTTGCAGTTAATGCGGAAAGTAGAACTGAGCTATCCAGCTAAGGAGACTTTCAGCAGTTGTTGAAGATTCTGCCTGTTTTATCCTTGCTGTTTATAAAAACATGTGAAATTGAGGGAGAGACTGTTAACAAGCCAGGATTTGATGCATTTGAAAATCCACAGCCTCCATTGATGGCAGATGATGCTAAAATCATTAAACAGCTTCTAGGCAAAGATAAAATCCAGGTACTGCTAGGAACTGGTCTAGAGAAACACTAAGAATACAACTATAAAACCTTTTGTTAGAACCTTTGAAAGATCAAAGTTGGCATCTGAGAGTACTGTTTAGTTACCCAAAGGCTCTGGAAAGAGATTAAAGGGGACCTTTAGAAGTACTCTGATCTACATGATGAGGCCTCTAGGAAGTTTTTCTCAATGAGATTCACATGAAGTCCACAGAGTTTTCAAGAGAAGCAGCTTAGCAGATACATCACCAACTTGGAGCAACCAGGAGAGAGACGCTTCAAAATAGACCACTGGATTCCCAAAATTAAAACGCCAGTAAGCAACGTTAGAAAACAACTGAGTGGCCAACTCATGGCAGAACCAAGAGTCCAGAGATTAGAGAATTGTTCCTAGGCTGTGAGATATAATCAAGAATCTCCAAACATTTTTCTGGCCAGATTTCAGAATTGCTATGTCCCAGTGACCTCACTCTCTTGGCCGGGGGAGGGGGCAGCAGACAATGTCATCTTTATTTCCAAAGATCTGCAGATCAAGAGGAGCTGCACTTCACAAATTAAACCTTATTAGCCTCAGCACCACTCGCACCTGATTTAATTGACAAGGTTATTGGCTTTGACCTGACGTTGTGAGAGGAGACTCTGGGAGGGCCTTGGAGGGGGTAAGTGTATTTTGCAATGTGGAAGGGACACAAATCACTAAGGGTCAGACAGTGGTAGGTAACCATTAAGATGGTTACCCCAATGATACCAGCCTCCTGTTATCCATACCCTTTCATAATGGTTTCCCCTTGGAAGTGAGCTGGGCCTAGTGACTCATTTCTAATTAACCGGATAACAAGACCAGGAGATGTCAGTTGTAATGTAAGTTTCCAAAATAATTCTTGCATCCATCTTGGGTACCTTCACTTGCCTCCCACCTCCAAGGAAGCCAGCTGCCATGTTGCAAGTTGCCCACGTGGAAAGGAAGTGATGTGTCCAGCCAAAAGTCAGTGAGGACTCAAGGGCAGCCAACAGCTTGAATGAGTTTGGAAAATCATTCTCTTCAAATAAAGACTTCCGATGACTACAAACTTGTAAAAGAGACAGTGGGAGCCAGGGGTGCCCAGCTAAGCCTTACCCAATGAAATTGTGAGATAATGTATGTTTGTTTTAAACCACTAAGCTTGAGCATACTTGTTACACAAATTATCACAGCTTATTCTGGTTCAGTGAATTACTGATAAAATAGAAAGAAACTGCATCTGTAGTCAAAGATAACATGTTGAAAAGAATTACAGTAGCTGCTATTATGATTAAAACCCGACTGTCACCCTGGCTGGTATGGCTCAGTGGATTGAGCACCAGACTGGGAAGCAAAGGGTCACTGGTTCAATTTCCAGTCAGGGCACATGCCTGGGTTACAGGCCCAGTCCCCAGTAGGGGGCACATGAGAGGCAACCACACATTGATGTTTCTCTCTCTCTCTTTCTCTCTCCCTTCCCCTCTCTCTAACAGTAAATAAAATCTTTTTAAAAACCCAAAATAAATCATGAATGAATGAATAAATAAACAAACAAATAAAACCCAACCGTCATTACCTTAGCACATATAAAATTTACTTTTCACTCACATGGTGAGCCATTGCTGGTATTCCTGGGTGACTCAGCACCCAGAGTTTTCCATCTTGCTGCTTTGCTGCTTCATACAATTAACAGTCTTCTTCCGGCTGGAAGGTACATCCTCTTCTTAAGAACCAAGTCTTAAGTGATATATATGACTCCTATTCAAACCACCCTGAAGAATATTAACTTAATAGCCACAACTAAAAGTAATAGCGGCTGAGTAATGTAGGATGTGCCTGGGCAGTCACATTCCAGAACCAACTCCAGACACTAGAAAGAAAAGCACAAACTTTTGGTGGTCATCTGGTCATATCATGGATATCATTAACTAAGACATACTCAGGATCTTGGAAAATAACCACAGATGGACTTGTGCTCACCAGAACTTCTATAACCTACATTAGATAAAACTCCCCCAGAATTCCTCACTCTGCATAAAAGAAACTAAATTCCTTCAGGAATTCCAGTGGAAATGTTCATGGTGATTTTAATTATGATCATTCGAGTGTACTCAGTCCCCTTTGTATGGACTCAAGTGGATGTGGTACTCAAAACACGTCATGGGAGTGCTTTTAATTAAAACTCCAATGCAGTCTCAACTATAAGGATCAATGATTAAGTGCAGTGGAGGAATTCTGAGGTTTATTAGGACCCTTTCATTCTGTTCTCATGGTTAACTGCTTCTCTGTATTTCAGCTATTACAGATGCCAAAGTTCAACTTTCCAAATGCAGTCACTCTCATGAGAAGACCCAGTATCTAAACAACAAAACGTAAGAAAGATGTTGGTGCTTTTTTCATTTTAAAAGAACATGGAAAGGCTACTGGATCCAGGACAGGGGTCCTTCAAAAGATATGTTAGGGGCATAAACATAAATGATCCAATTCAGCAGTATAAACTCTTGTCCTTATATATTACACAAACTAATTCCCAGCCATCTAAATACATTTCCTAAATTTTTGATTTTTTAGATTATATTTTTAGACCGAGGGGAAGGGAGAGGGGAGAGAAAGATCAATATGTGGTTGCCTCTTGCACACCCCCTACTGGGGACCTGGCCCACAACCCAGGCATGTGCCTCACTGGGAATTGAACTGGCAACCCTTTGGTTTGCAGGCTGGTGCTCAATCCAAGCCACACCAGCCAGTGCCATTTCCTAAATTTTTGATGGTATAATTAGTAAAGAAGAGTAAATATTTCTGAATGAGATTAATCTCCCCCCATCTTTCTCTTTCAAACTACACGTCATATTAAATTCAGATGTTTGTTACCAACTAAGCAATGATGGTGGAACTAGAAGAGCAGATTAAAAAATTAAGAGTTTTCTGTCACAAGAAAGGTATGGAAAGGGAAATTAGTAGGGAGGTTTCTTAAGGTTTGAGGAAGCCAAAGCTTTCTAAGATGCATAATCCTTTGTGTGACAGCTCCATCCTCACCTTTCCCAAGACTTCAATTTTATTTAAGTGGCAAGGCTGGGAATCTAGTCAAGCACCATAGATCAGCAACTGCCTGGATCTACTGCTGCCCCTGGCTTCCACCAACAGCAGCCCCATGATCAGCAGCAGTAAGATGATTCCCAGTGAACTAATAAAAAAGTCCCGACTTCGATGTCTTACCCAAGGTCAGAATTTCAAGAGGCCTTCTACTTGTAATGATCTAATTTCATTGTGAAGAAGCATCACAAATACTTCTGGAACTAGCATCCCTCATCACCTGGAGTTTGTGGTAACATCTTTCCAGCCCCTAATGCAAAATGGGCTTATTATGACCTGCTGTATCATGAATACCCTCCCCTAGTACAAAACAGGACTCCAGGTTTGTCTTTTGATTTTCCTCATCCAATAGTCAGTCCTTAACATTCTGCTTCTCTACAGTCTGACAATCATTCTCTAGTACTAATTCCTATACAGGCTAGTTTTCTAGCCTGAAAGATGGTTAACTCTCAGTTAGAATTAGAAGCTAATATTGGAAGAATACCAGGTACCTTGCAGATATAAAGAATTAGAACAAAATTAGGACGTGAGAAAGCAGAAAACATTTTAATGGATCAGAGTGATAGGTAGAGGGGCAGAAATCTTTAGGTTACTGCCCAAGGATGACTCAATTACAACTACTTCTGGTCCAGGAGTGGTTTCACGTAGTTAACGGAGAGTACAGTAAGGGCCTGAACCAATCAAAATGAATACTGACTGAAAGAAAGCATCCATTCAGGCGTTACATTAAGCCAAATACTGACCTTGCTCCTGTCCTCGAATCTCCAGTTAAAACACAAAGAATGAAACAATCTGATTGCCTTAATTGAAGCTTTGTGACTGGCAGTTCCCCAGAACAATACAGAAGAAAAAGTGTCAACCAAGAAAAGTGTGTTAAAGACAGAAACAGATTTCAACATATATAATGAAAAAATATGTACAAACACATACACATGTATATGCATGCAAAGATATATTCAGTATCAATCTTGATGCTATGACTACAAGATGGTATTACATGTAAGTTTGTGCAAATCACACATTTCATTGAATATATTGTGGACAGGAAACTCTCCATAGAAGCACACATAGAGCTTAGTCTCCTACTGACTGGACAATAGTGTTGAATAATCAACTTAATCTGTTTGGCACACTGCCATCCTATTTGTCATAATTAAAACAATGCTGCAATAAATGTTATTTACATCTACCTATTTACTGCAATAGAATAAAAATTCCTAGACCTCGCAAGAGAAATGCACATTTATAATGCAGATAGGTAACGTCATATTGTGTTCAAAACATGAGAAAAATTTACACAGCTAATGATCAACAAGTGCCTGCTTTCTCACACTGTTACCAGCCATGGATAGTATCCAGATTTTAGATTTTGATCCATCTGAGAGGCACAAAAATTTGTTTTGTCATTTTCTGGTTAGTGAGGTTAAGGTCACAGATTTTCTTCATCCATTTGAATTTGTGATTTGTGAAAGTCCTGTTGGTATGCACGGTCAAATTTCCCCCCACTGCTATGAATGTGTTATAGCACTTTGTTCCTAAATGATGGTTTTCTTTTTATTTTAATGCAACTTGTGTATATTTCCCTGTCAATTGACTTTTACACCTTTTGGGGGGGCCTTTACAATGCCTAAGTTTTAAATCTTTACACAGGCCAACTTATTTCCTTCCTTGTGTCTGCTGGGACCCCATGTCCTACTTAGAAAATTCATCTGTATTATATGCAATTGTATTCTATGTTCCTGGAAGGTGTAAATGTGCTTTTTTCTTAGAGGGTAGATAATGTACTGTCAAAACATCATTTGCCCCCCAAATAAAAAAAAAAGTCTTTTTATATACCAAAATCTCACATGCAAAGAAACTAATTTTTTTAAATGTCTGGCTATGATCTACAAATTATCTTTCCTTGTGTGTTTTTAATTAAAAAAAAAACTGTCAAAGTGAACATATCCTATTGGGACTCTGTTGTGGAAAACAATTTACAAATATTTTAACAATATCGAGTATTTCATCTATAAAAGTATGATCTTTTTGACATATTTTCTATTGTTCAATATGGTTTAATAGTTTCCTTTGGCCTCTATTTATAAATCGCTTGACAGTTTTTCTTGTTGATGTGAGAGTTGTATTTTCCTCAAGGAAATAATTGGAAACTTGTGTATATTACTTCTCTGCAATAGGGCAAAGGCAAACTTTTTCTGTAAAAGGGTAGTAATATTTGAGATTGTGAAGGCATACTGTCTCTGCTACAGGTACCCAACTCTGATCTTATAGAGTGAAAGCAGCCAGAGGCAGTATGTTAAAAAAAAAAAAAAGAATGTGGCTGTGAGCCAATACAACTTTATTTACATACATTAAAATTCAAATTTCATATAATATTCACATTGTCATCAAATGTTATCCTCTTCACTTGTTCAACCATTTAAATATTCTAAAACAATTTAGATCATGGGCCATAAAAATATTCAGTGAGACTTGAGCCATGACTCAGTTTGCAGACCTACTCATGATGAGTATAGCTCAGGTTAATGGTACTTCGAGAGTTTAACAGAATTCATTTATGAGTCCAGGTAACTTTAAATAGATTAAATCTTACCAAATTTTCTGATTCTTAACATGTCTGTAGTTTTAACTTTATTCATATGAAGTTTACATTTTTCTGACTGTTCCAGGTAGCCTACTCATCCATATTCTCTACTTGCTTCTTAAAACTGTTGTCAGAGATAACGTTATATTTCCTTACCAAGTACACCTTACATTTATGCAGGTAAATTGGAAAACCACAACACTATCGTGAAATCAAATTTTAAACCAACATAGGCAAAGCTTTATCAACAACCCAGAACTCCTGTGCCTGGCCTGTTGTATACATCATTTTTATTCAGAGGTAATTATGGTAATGCTTCAATGTCCCAAAATATTTTTAAAAGAGTTAAAATTACTCAACACTTTGGATAGACAAGGCACTGTTTCAGGAGCATCTTAGGCATTAACCAGTTTAAAAAGGATCTCAATGCATACTTTCACATGAAGAGTGAAGGAATTACATTTACATCTAAATCAAGCTGACTGACACGTGGAAAACAAACTTGTAGAGGACAAACACAAGAGCAGTGAGACCAGTTTTTAACAATTGGTAACAACAGTCGGTCTAGCTGAAATGACACTGAGCCTATGGGGATGGGAGTGAGGATGGGTTCCAGAGATATTTGGGAAACAGATCCATAGGACTTGATGTGGAAGGTAAAGAGGAACGAGTTGATGACTCTCCGGCATGAATTCGCTGAGAAGCAAAGTATGTACTCTGCCTGAAGACTTTTCTGCTTTTCTTATGATTATAGGACCTCTCTCCAGTATGGACTCTTTTATGTTGATTAAGGTGCCCAATTTGGATGAAGGTTTTCCTACATTCCTTGCATTCATACGGCTTCTTTCCAGAATGAATTCTCTGATGTACACTAAGGGACTGACGATGGCTAAAAGCTTTGCCACACGCACTACACTCATAAGGCTTCTCTCCAGTGTGACTTCTGCGATGACAAATAAGAGATGACTTTGTTTTGAATGCCTTTCCACATTCAATACATTCATAAGGCCGTTGGCCCGTGTGAAGTCGCTGATGTTGAGTACAGGATGAGTTATCACCAAAGGCCTTCCCACACTCAATACATTTATAGGGCTTCTCTCCAGTATGAACTCTCTGATGTTGAATGAGGTGGGTGGTCTGGCTGAAGGCTTTCCCACATTCCTTACACTCATATGGTTTCTCTCCCGTGTGAGTTTTCTGATGCTGTGCAAGGTGAGCCTTTTGGGTGAAGGCTTTACTACAAATCTTGCATTCATAGGGCTTCTCTCCAGTATGAATTCTCTGGTGAGTGGCTAGCTGGGAACTGATGCTGAAGGATTTGCCACATTCCACACATTCAAAGGGTTTCTCTCCAGTGTGAATTCTCAAATGACTAGCAAGGTGTATATTTTGCCTAAATGCTTTCCCACATTCTTTGCACTTAAAAGGCTTCTCTCCAGAATGCACTCTTTGATGTTGAGTGAGAGATGCATGATGGCTGAAGGCTTTTCTACAAACATCACATTCATATGGTTTCTCTCCAGTATGAATCCTTTGATGAACAGTAAGGGATGAGCCGTACCTAAAGGATTTGTCACACACATCACATTTGTAGGGTTTCTCTCCAGTATGAATTCTCCTGTGTTGGTTAAGTCCTATGTGATCACTGAAGGCTTTCCCACAGTTGACGCATTCAAAGGGTTTCTCCCCAGTGTGATAGTATCTCCAGTGACGAATAAGGGATGTGTTCTGTATGAAGGCTTTCCCACATTCAACACATTCATAGGGCTTCTTGCCAGTGTGACATCTTTGATGTCGGGCAAAGGAGGAGCCATCGCTGAAGGCCTTTCCACACTCATTACATTTATAGGGTTTCTCCCCTGTATGAATTCTCTGATGAACGGTAAGAGATGAGCTCTGGGTGAAAGTTTTCTTACATTCATTACATTTGAAAAGTTTTTTTCCTGCATAGATTCCTGTATGTTTTGTCATGACTGTATTTTGGGAAAAATTTTTCTTAACTGAATCATGATTCTGAACTCTCTCTTCTGAAATGTCCAAAGGGAACCATCTTCCAGATTTGGTATATGCACACTCTCTTTCTTTAGAGAGGGTTTTGTTATTAGTGATGGTCTCTTCCCTGTATTGTCTCTCCTGACCTACCAGCTTCCTTTCAAACACACCTTCAGAATCCCAATTTTCTCTGAAAGTGGAATACTCCATATTAGTGCTTAAAGTTCTGTCTGTTACCACTTCAGCGAATAAATCCTGCTTTGGAAATAATTCCTGGGTCTCATGTACAGATTGGTGGCCTGAAACGTATCAAGAAAACAAATATTTCCTTTATCATATACTAGAAAAATATACTAAGGGGAAAATTGTAAATGAATTCACTAAATGGTGAAGTGAACCACAAAAATTACGCATTTCTAAAAGCTACTGCATTTAAACATGCTGCTTAAGGTGTATGTAAAAGAGACCCCAGACTGAATTCACACAGGAACCTTAGAAGATGTGAGTAGGAAAAAAATATATATATGTAGAGTTGGTTACATATCAGAAAAGCAAGGATTTGAAAAAAACATTCTGCAATCACACCATGTAAAACTACACTATGACATGCACAGATTTTAACCTCTCTCTCACTCTCCACCAATCCTGCTTTGGATGCCAGGGCAGTCACCACATCACAAAAGTTGTTTCAAGAAACATGCCAAAGCACAAAAAAAAGAGACTGTACTCGACAATGTTCATGAGGATTATCTGAAAGCCTGATTATTCCCCTACAACCACAAAATGGTGCTTCTGTAAACCATATTTATGTGAGTAATTTTAACAAAACTACACTGCCAACTGATGGCCACAGCTCAGTGGTCCCATAAAATCATGTTTACGTTTGTTTACCTGCTTGCGTCCACAAGCCTGACAAAATCTTCACTTCTTTCCTGGCCAGTTACTGAGGATGGGGTCTTGCAATTTAATTTCTCATTTTGAAGAGACTGTTTTTATAGTAATGATGACTCAATATTGTATTTAATTATGTTTAGATATACTACTGAAAATGCATATACCTTATCTCATACTTGAAGCTTATAGGGAGAAATAAATATATCTGCAATCCTTTTACCATATCAGCATATGCCAAAAATTGTTCATATTTGGTTATACCTTAATAAATATACATAGATGAAATTGGTATTGGGGAGATGATGCAGAAAGACAATGTCTGGAAAAAGATGATGATGTTAAAAAAGGAAAAAGGAGAAAGTCTTTTTTTAAAGAACAAAAAAACACTGAAAACTACCCTTAGATCAAAGCAAGACAAGGAGGTCTGCTTTCATAGCTTCTACTCAACGCTGACCTGGATGTCCTAGCCAGAACAATCAGAAATAGAAATAAAAGGCATCCACATTTGCTGATGACACAATTTCATATATAGAAACCCAAAAGAATTCACAAGCTAAGTATCAGAGCTAGTAAGTTAAGTCATCAAAACTGGAGGATACAAGAGCAACACATAAAAATCACCACGTTGTATGTAAAAATGAAATTATGAAAATAATTTCATAAAAATAGCATTAAATGAAGAAATTATTTAGGAATAAATTTACCTGAGTTGCTAGATTGATGCTGAAAACATTACTGAATAAAATTAAGAAGACCTAAATAAATGGAAAGATATTCTGTGTTCATGGATAGGAACACTTAATGTGCTCAGAAATAGGAAAATAACAAGAAAAAAATTAACAGAAGACTAAACAAATTTGTTATGTGGTACCAATGGGAATAGTATATCTATTAGTAAAAAGAAAAACTATGAGTGGAAGAAATTAACAAAGTAAATGCTTCTGTTAATGAAGATACCACCCAATTTAAACTACCGTATAGCAAGAAACATGATGCAAACTTACAGACCACACAAAACTATAAAAAAAATGTATCACATTCCTAAAATAGGACTTATACTCACACTATATAAAGGCAAAAAAAAGGAACCCAATAGAAATGTGGGTGATGAGTATAAGTAAATATAATATAAATTCTAACTGGATTCAAATGTGTATACTCTCAATACTACAAGTTCCTCAGAAATAAATAAAACTCAATTTTCACCCAACATCTTGGCAAAAATTTTAAAACACCACCAGTCAAATACTATTGGTTACAATGTCTAGAAATGGATTTCTCATATATTATTCACCAACAGTATATCACTGTATTCATGAAACTTTAAAAACATGTATATTTTGATCATGCAAAGTCATATGTACAAACTGGACTGCTTTTATTTTAGGTAAAAACTGGAAAAGACCTAAATGTTCAAATGTCATCAACAGTAAGTCAGTTAAGTGAATATGGTCTATCTATATATTGTAAACTAGATAGCTACCTAAAAAAAAAAGAACTACACATATCAAGTTCTAAGGACACAAATAGGAGAAATTGTAAAAAAATATATGAGACTATATAAAATTTTTATGTATCACATTTTATAAAGTCTAATTAAAACAAAAACTCTCATTACCATATGTAAAAAATAGTTAGAGACAATACATCAAAGAATTAGTATGTTTATATAAAAAGTCACTGGGACTGCCCTGGCTGGTGTGGCTCAGTGGACTGAATGCTGGCCCATGAACCGAAAGGTTGCCAGTTCCATCCCCAGTTGGGGCAACCAGTCACAGCACAGGCCTGGGTTGCGGGCTGGGTCCCCAGCTCGGGCATGCAAGAGGCAACTGATTGACGTTTCTCTTTCTCTCTCCCATCCCCTCTTTCTAAAACTAAATAAATAAAATCTTTTTTAAAAAGTCACTGGGACTTAGAACACTTATGGCACAAATAGAGAAATGGGTATAAAATGAGAAAGATTTCATAAAAGAGATACTCACATTTAGAGAATACCCAAATTTAGAGAAAATAGTCAACCTCTTTCATAATGAAAAAAGTAACTTTAGGCTATAATCTTTCTCCAAACCATAATCGTTCAAATTTTTTTTAAATCCTCACCCAAGGGCATTCTTTCATTGCTTTTAGAAAGAAGGAAGAGAGGAAGAAACATTCATTGGTTACTTTCTTGCACATGCCTCAGTTGGGGATCGAACCTGTACCTGGGTATGTGACCCAACTGGGAATCAAACCCTGTGACCTTTTGATCCACAAGACAATGAATGCTCCAAACACTAAGCCACACTGGCCAGAAAATACCCAGTGCTCTAAAGAAACAATTAAACCCACCCTTCTAGTCATCACTAGGGTTACTGAATGCAAACAAAGCAAACTTTCAGAGCCTAGCAGGTATTCGGATCCAGGGATATAGCAATCTCCAAAACATATAATTTTCACTTCCATAGACTCCTACTGTAAGTATGTTTTTCATACTAATAAATGTGAAGTAACCTAACTGAATATGTACATCATGGAAGGTATGTGAAAAACATCTGTATGCACGAGTGAATATACACAATAATTCCTACTATGTTAAAAATATGTGTTCGTGACTTGAAAGAGGTCAAAGTTGCCTTGTTAACACACTGTGTTTACATGTATCCAGATAGGTGACAGGATTACATTTTCTACAAACTGTTATGTTTTTTTTTTTTTAAGAATGTCTTTCCCTTCCCTTGTGTATCAAATGAGAAAGATCTTCCACTGATGCTTTCTTGCCATCCAACTTCCGCTCACCGAGTCTGAAAACGAGGCTGCACCTGGGATCCTCTCCTTTGCCGCTGCAATGCCTTACTGGAAATTCGCTAAGTCTACCTTATGCCAGTTACCGGTGAAGATGTCTTATCCCCACAGCCCACTCCCCATTAGAGTAATGGTCTGAGTAACATATGTGTAAATTCCCTCTAACTACCTGCCACTGCCAAGCAGGGTGGCCAACTTGTGGTTCTCACGGGAATGAAGGCATGAGGAAGTGAACAGGCCTTTGGCCGTGGAGGGGTAAACCTTTTGGAAGACAGCTCGCATGCATTTTGGGTCAGGAAAAGGCACTGAAGGAACTGAGTGGCCGATGCTCATCTGAGTGGCTGGGAACAGACGGAGCACAACCCGGCAGGAGTGCCACCCCATGGAAACGAGGAAGGAAGGAGAATCGTTCTGAAAGGGCAGGCCTCATTTCTCTGCAGTCCAGAAGACCTGGTAACGTTTTTCTCCTGCACATTAGTGAGGACTTGGCTCCACAGAAAGCTACTTCTCAGCCGTGCTGGCATTCCCATGCCCGGCTCCCGCACTCACCCGAAAGCAGGCCGTCTGTCAGCTCTCTCTTCACCAGCCAGGGCTCCTTCCCTTGGTCCAGTACAGACACCACATCTGGCATAGAAATACAGTGTCCTGCGCGTGAGAAAAGACAGGGGGTCCACCCATGATGCTGGCATCCTGGAGAACCAGTTCCTGGGCTTTGAGAGAAAGTGTTACTATAGGAAGAAGCAGAAAGGAGAGCGAGGAATGCCTGACAGCAGGGACGGGGCTACAGCATCATGAAGATACCAACCTTCAGTTCTACAGGGGCCAACGCTTACCTCAGAAACCTAGAGCAGAAACTCAGCCCAGCACTTCAGAAGACCCAGCAAGCAGACACACAATTCAGAACCGAGGACGGAAAGAGCTGGGGGAGGGGCAGCCTCACCTGCTGCCTTCAGATCTCGGCTCTCCCATGTCACGTTCTTACGGAAACTCTCCTGAGATGGATCTAGCTGCTGGGAGAAGTCAGTGGCCATGTCCACGATGGTCACCAAGCCCTGAAATGGCACAAACACACTTTCTAACCAAACCATATCGCAAACCTGCAATGGCTCTAGCAGGGAGGGCGGTGTCCACATAGTGAGAATTCTAGGTTCCGAGTGATCTGGGTCACATGATGACTGTGCCTTGTGATGGCACATATGTTTGGGGGAAAGAGAAAAACAGGAGAACCTGTTTCTGCCATGGAAAATTCATAATTCTGTCAAGAACACCTTACACGCAGTATGAGTTTTCTCATGCTGACTGACAGCTTCCCCACCTTCAATACACATTATTGGCTAACTCTGCCGGCTTTTCCTCTCACATGAAATCTCTGGTGAAAAGGAAGGGTTGCGGGCCTGCCTGAGGTTCCTTCATGTTCATTACATGGAACACTTCTGATCTCACTGGACTTGTTACAGATGAACTCCCCTGCTCTTCCCATGTGTCTCATGACTGTGTGCTCCTCCTCCTGGGGGCCAGCCTGTCTGCAGGGGGCACTGCACTCAGAGCATGGGCATGGTCTGTCCTGGGATGAGTTTCTTAATGCAGGACACTGCCTTCTTGGTCTGACTTCTGCCCACTCTGTGCCACTGAAATAAGGAAGCCATGCCTGGGAACCGTCTCCTCTGCCCCTCTAATGCCCTGCTGCAAATTGCGCAAACTCCTCCTCATGCAAGTTACCCAGGAACACGCCCTCTTCCCTCCTTGCATGGTCTGCCTTACCGGCTGCCTCTCGAACAGAGCCTCATAATCCCAGCGTTCCCTTAACACGGGGCACTGCACATGGCAGCCGCCAAGTTTCTCCATCAGCACTGCCTCAGACCACGGGGCTTCACACACCCCCGCCTCTGCAGGTGACTCCGCGGCCTCCGGCGGAGCCTGCCGGTCTGAAAGACAGCACGAGAGTAGGCATCGCTTTCATTATGGACTAGTATGAAGGCAACTTCCCAAATGCAGCCAGATGAACTAAAATCCTCAGAAGAGCATATCATTTTGAAAGCATTTCCCTGACTAACGTTATGTTCCCCAATTTGCGCAGCTTTAACCCTAAACAACGTATGAGCTTTCTCACCACAATGCTCACCATGCAGGGCCTGTTACACTGTTAGCAGGAGAATGAAAGGAATCCAAAGATCAGATGACAGAGCTCACAAAAATTTACACTGAAGATAAAATGTGGCAAAATTTAGACAAACAGGGAGGGAAGGCTATAGAAGAAAATGCTGTATAATTATTCAGTAGAAGTCGCTCTGACCCGTTCTCCATTTTATCCAGCAAAAATTTCTTCTGTAGCCCAGTATGCCTTTTTTATTATTAATAAAAATGTGATTAAATATAAAAGTTAAATGAATTTTGACAAAAACACCCTCACAGTTCTGTGCCACCTGATAACACGTGAGCCACTGTCACTTGTCACTGTGGGCACCTGTCCTATCCATACCACAGTCCCTCTGATTTGAACAAAGCAGGTCTCACAAAATTCTCTAGCCCTCAGGAAACCTCACCATTTCCTGTTACAGTACCCTCCAACAGATCTGAAATTCTGATTTCTAGTCTTACTTGATTAATTTGTTGTTCCAGAAATAACGCTCTGGTTGACATCTCTGTATTCCCTAGTGGTGCAAATAGCACCACAGTATCTGTAAGGATAATCCATCAACTCAGAACCATGGTCTTTTCTTCTGAGAGCACTCACTTAACTTCATGTTGCCTGTCTGCACCAGGCAGTCCGCGTGAACCCCAAATCATTTACGGCTGAACCCAAACCCATCTCCTAACCTAATTCTTATGCTCCCGCTAAAGGCTCCAATCTCATTCACTTGGCCTGAAACTCAGAATGCATTTCTTCTTCCTCTTAGTCTCTCTTGTGCTTATCAGGCACAGGACGGCAGTTTCCACTTCACTGAAGTCATGTACAGGTGTGAGCTTGTCTCCCCGGGCAGCTGGCTGATTCTTATAGGCAGACACCCATCTTACCGGCCAGCACCTGATGCTCAAAGCTGACACTCGGGAATAATTGGCTTTAAAAAGTCTGTATACCAAACAGTCATTTCATCAAAAAGAAGGAAGACAGTAAAAACAAAATCAGAGTCAGCCAAAGATTTTTGAATGAAAGGAGATTACTACGCAAGTCTGAACGTCAAAGGCTCTGAGAGGGGGCTGGGTGAAAAATGGACCCAGAGGACAGGAACGAAGTTACGTTTAGAGGAAGCAGGGCAACTTTGGGGTAAAAACTTGGGGAGTCCATTTTCAAGAGGACTTAATTTGCCCTTCAGGCCCAGAGCTTAGGAAGAGCTTGCTGATGACCCTACGTGTCTGAGGTTCCCGAGATGTGACCCGCAGTGGCTCCCCCACCAGGGTCCCCCATGCTCACCTGGGTACAAGCCTCTGGTCAACTTTCTCTTGGCCATCCAGGGCTCTTCCCTTTGTTCTAATGAGGAGATCATATCAGGCTTAGAGAAACAAAGTCCTAAATCCATAAAAAGAAACAGGAGGTGGTCTGGCTGTGGGTCTGTGATGGGAGAGGGCTGAGGGCTAAGGGCTCAAGGCGCGGCACTTCTAAGTTACGGGATCAGACAAGGGGAAGGTGCAAGAGAGGGCGGGCACACCCTTACCCAGCAACACCAGGTTCCTGTAGTTCTCCAACATCACGTCTCTGTACAGGGCTCTCTGAGCACAGGTCAGCCGTTCCCACTCCTCCTGGGAGAAATCTACAGCCACATCCCCAAACGTCACCAAGCTCTGCAAGGACAAGACCACATTCTTGCTCAACCAGTGCTCACGCACCTCACATGTTGGGGCTGCTATGGACAAAACTGTGTCTCCCAATTTGTATGGTGAAGTGCTAACCCCCCAGGAACACCAGGAATGAGGGATCGGAGGGGCAACCATGTGAAGAGGCAGCAAGAGGGGGCTGTCTGCATGCCAAGCAAGGCATGCTTGCTTGGCTTCTCCCTCAGGAGAAACCAACCCCGCCAGCACCTTGATCTTGAACTTCTAGCCTCCAGAAGTGTGAGAAAAGAATTTCTTGCCTCTGTTGTTCAGGTCCCCCGAGTCTGTGGCATTTTGTCACGGAAGCCCTCCCAAACAGACATAGGGATTTCAAGATTGCCTTCTCTTCATTTTGGGTAAGAGAATGAGCATGTAAGGAATAGTATCTGTTAATTTGGAAATCTAGTTTAATGTCACAAATGTGAGAAAACTATGGAGACAGAAGACAGCCCCCGCCCAGGGGAACTGGCACATCCATGTGGCTGAAAGGAGGTACACGTGAGAAACAGTCCCGACGTCAATTCAAACAATACATCTCAAAGGTAAAATGTTCCAAGCACAACAGGACATTTCCCTGAGGACAGGGCAGAGCATTTTCCGTGAGGACACTCCAGGCACCTGGGGTGATCAGCACGCACACAGAGAAGTAAACCTGGGCACATGCCTCTAAACAACACGACCATCCCCACACCAGGCTCTGGGGCTTTCTATGTGACTTCATGTTCACTGCATGTTGAATGTTCATTAAAACAGAACAGAACATGGTAATATTTGCAGGCAAGAGCCAAGAGCAGCATACTGAGCCCTGAGCTAAAGAGGCCCTTGTGTGCCGCCCTGCGTGAGCTGGTCTGAAACAAATGTGGGTGGGCTCGCAGAGCACATGGCCACAAAGCAGAGGGGACTGACCCGAGGGCTGAGTACTGCATGGGAGTGTGCTTCTTGTAAGACAGACTCCATGGCAGCTCTGTGACTGTTCTTGCCGATCTGTTGCTGACACATACAACTTCCCAGCAATTTGCTGAATGTCTTCAGTTCTGAAAGCTGTGTGAGGTCTAGCAGTGGACATCTTCGAGTATCCTGGAACTCTTAACATTTCAATGTGCCACGAAATAGGCCAGACACAGAAAGACAAATACTTCATGATCTCACTCAGATGTGAAAGATAAAATCGTCCAACTCACAGAAGAGAGGACAACAGTGGCTGCCAGAGGCCAAGGGGAGGAGGTGCTGGGAGGTGATGGTCAGAGAAGACAGACTTCCACGTACACAGGATGAGCGAGTTCCAAAGACTTCCTACGTAGCCCAGTGCTCATAACTAACAGCAAGAGGGCGGATTCCCCGTTAAAGGTTCTTATGACCAAAAACAATATTATGATAAAGGGTAGGAGGAGACATTGGGAGGTGCTGGATAGGTTCCTGGTCTTGATGGTGGTGATGGTTTCATGGGTGCAGACTTAGCCTCAAATTCATTGAGTGGTACACATTAAAAACAGGCAGTTTTTTACACATCAATCGTAACTCAAGAAAGTGGTCTAACAAGAAAAAAGCCATTTTAATGCAATTATTTTAAATTGTGTTCAAAGACACGGGCGCTTGGACATACGCTGCTCTGTGTCTGTGACCCAATGACAGCAGACACGGTCACAGACTCCAGTCTACTTATCTATTGCTCAGACATCCTTTACTAATTATGCTTTAAAAATCTTTACAATATGCTTAGAGCACCTTTACAGTACCTCTGTGAGTCTGTTGATACAAAAGAAAATGATGCCCATTTCTCTAGCATTTGTTACCACGTTACACTGGGTAAGAAAACTGAAACATGTAAGCTTCTAAATTGAAGAACCCGTGTTTAACATTTTCTTAGACTTTTCGAGGGGATTCTTGTGGGTTTGATGATTTTTCCTTAGTAGGAAAGGGCCCCTCTCCACTGCCTAACCCCACGTGAGCTCACAAGGGACCCAACATCATAGTATGTGTCCATTCTCATGGTGTCCGTCCATGCACGCAACCAGTGCCTTGTGTCTGCCAATACTCTGTACTGCAAATAACAACCACCATGGCCCGCAGTGCTTACAACATTCCAGACATGGATACACAAGCTATTTCACCCCACAACATCCCGATGGCCAGTCCAATTTTTGTTCCTATGTTACAGGTGAGGAAGCAGAGCTGTGACTGACCCTCGATCATACAGTCCCCTGCGAAGCCAGGACCTGAGCCTGGCAGTCCGGCTCCACAGTCCACGCACTCACCCTCCACATCACAGCCAGCAAAGTCCTTCTGTAAAGGGCTTTGGATGCTGCAGGGCCTGCCGCGACCGCTCCGCTCTGCCCCCTCGGAGCAGGAGTGCGGCCTCGGACAAGTGGACTGTGCTCCAAGAAGGCTCTTCGTGAGCACCAAAGTGTGAAGTTCTTTGATTCTCACATATCGGAAAATACCATTCTTTCAATGATTTTCAACCACTGATAAATATAAAAGCCATTCACAGCTTGTGAGCTTTCTATACCAAAAGAACTGGGGGAGCCAGAGGCGGCCCACAGACCAGTCTGCCCACCTGTCCCACATTATATACATTGTGTGGTTAATGAATGTCACCTAAGGGTGTGCCTGTAAATTTCTAAAGCAATCAGAATGGTGTGACGTGCTGATCACTGACACTCACTGAGTTTAACATGTGCCAACACCTTCCATGTGTTAAGTGACCCTGACAAGAACCAGGAGGCATGTGTTGCCTTTATCCCCATTTTTACAGAGGAAGAAATGTGGCCATTTAAATTTCCTTACGGTTATACAGCGATTGCAGGCTAGAGCCAGCATCCAAACCCGGGCAGCCTGGCTCCCCAGTCCATGCCTGTGACCAGTATGTGACCCTGCCTCTATTAACAGTTTCCACGGTGGCCACGGCAATAATGCTTGATGCCCAATCGCCCTGACTGAAAACAAGGTCCACTAGACAATATGGTTTCAGATGAAACAAACTTTCTGTATCTGATGATGGATCACCCCACTTCATTCAGGAAACGCAAACACACTCTTAAAGGTACAGGTCCTATTCTTATTCCTGTCGCTTCCACAGAGATACGGAGCTTTCTAAATGGGTTTCACAGTGTCATACTAAACCAAAGAAAACACGCACGTACAGAATCTTCTCCAGGTGTCAGAATTTGATTAGGTGTTTAACTTGTAATCTAAATAAAGACGAGAAAGAGGCATTAAAGACAAACAACATGCAAAAGCAACTCTATCCTTATAGAAAAATATTTTGTATTATTACCTTACAAGAACTGAATAAAAAAGTATTTTATATAAAAAAATGCATAAAAGAGGGTTTTTTTGGTTTCATTCAATTTAGTTCATTTGAAAGCATACAAATCAAAAATTGGTAATAATTTTTTCGGTAAAGCTTACTATTCTTTTTTAAAACATGAATTCTAGCTATTGAGGCCCTATTGCTGTTTCATTGAAATATAATTTTAAAAGTATTCTGATTTCATCTTAGTAAGGTAAACTTTAACCCACAAAGTTAGAAAAACTTCTGCGAACATATTCATAGAAACTGATCAGGGTAAAGCACATTTTCAGGTACAAAAATGATTATACTGAATAGTTGATATTATCTTAAATAAGCAAGACATTGGTTACAAGAGAACTTTAAGACTATATTAAAATATTTAATTGACAAATACTTTCTATATCAGACACTGGGGCAAAACTGTCCAAAATCTCTGCCAGTCTCAGGTGTCCCCTGCAGTAGGGAATCAGACAAGATAAATAAAGTAAAACAACTTTATTACTTTTTAATAAAGTAAAAAGTAAAACATACATAGGTGATAAAGAGTTTAAGAAAGTGAAGCAGAGATGAGGGAAGTAAAGATCTGGTGAAAGGGTTGGAATTTCAGACAGGAAAATCAGCAGGCAATTAAAAAAAATTATTTAGTCCTGGCTGGTGTGGCTCAGTGGATTGAGTGCTGGCCTGTGAACCAAAACGTTACCAATTCCATTCCTGGTCAGGCCACATGCCTGGGTTGCGGGCTAGCACCCCAGTTGGTGGCATGTGATTGTCAACTAGTCAGTGTATCTCTTACACATTGATGTTTCTCTCCCTCTCTTCCTTCCTTCCCCTCTCTCTAAAAATAAATAAAATCTTTAAAAATATTTTTAATTTAAATATGTTTACTGATTTGAGAGACAGAAACATCAATTGGTCACCTCTTGTACATGTCCTGACTGGGGATTGAAGCTGCAACCTTTTGGTTGATGGGACCATGCTCCTACCAACTGAGCAACCTGGCCAGGGCAAAAAACAATTTTTGAATAAGCACAGAATCAGAAGTGTCAAAGCTACAAGGGCTAGGTCAGGTGGGGCCACCAGTCACAGGAAAGATTCCAGCCTCATTCAGAAGAGCCACTAGCAGACTTTGAGCAGAGAGTGACATCACTGTGCCTGCTGTATTGGGAAGTGACCTTGGGAACAGGAGCAAAAGCAGGAAGTCACAGAAGCAGAGTTAGGGCCAAAAGTAAGGCAGTGGTGGTGACCCTCAGATTCCAGACACAATTCAAAACAGTGCCCACAGGACTTGCAAACAGATCAAATACAGTCGGTGAGGGAAGAGAGGAGACAAGCACAGTGCGAGGTTTCTGGCCTGAGTAACTGAGAGCAGGGCTGCCACAGTCTGAGATGAACACAACTGTGGGAGGGGCCGGTTTGGGGGAGAATCTTAGAAATTTGGGTCTGGTGATGTCAAATGGAGGAGTCGAATTGAATGCACAGTCCTGTAACTCAGAGAAGTTTGGTCTGGAAAGGAGAATTCAGAAGATGCCGGCATGTGGTTAGTTTTCACAGACAACAAGGAAGGTGTGCCGACAGAGAAGAGAGAGCCGAGAACTGGGCCCCGAAGTGTGCCCAGTTATAGTGAAGGACGGGAGGAACCAGCCATTGAAACTGAGGGTCAGGAAAGCGGAGGAAAGCCACTCCCCCTAGGAGCCTTTGGAGGCCTGGGGGTAAGCCCATCAGGAGCTGGCAGCCGCCTGTGTTTGTAAATAAAGTTTTTGTGGAATACGACCCCACCATCCATTTACCTAATGTCGGTGGCTGCGTTAGCTCCAGGGAGCAGAGCGGAGTAACCCTCCGAAAGCCTAAAACGTTTACCTCCTAGCCCTATATCCTGAGAGCCTGCCAACACCAAGCTATTTCAAGAACCAAAGAGAATCTAAAAAAGACTAAAAACCGAGTACCGCATTTGGTAATGTGGAGATCACAGGTGACCTCCTTAAAAGCAGTTCGGGAGAAACAGGTGGAACCTGGTTCACGAGTTTATGAGAAACAGCTGACAAAAACATTTGTCATTTTAAGAAGCCATGCAATCAAGTGGGAAAATAACCCTTTCGAACTGTACCGAAAATGCTGCCCCTCCCACTTCTGTCTGCCAAACATTACCTCTCCCTGCAAAAGTTGGCTCAGGAGACTGAATGCCGGCCTGCAAACCAAAACATCTCCAGCAATTTTCCCAGGGCACATGCCTGGGTTGCAGACTGAGTCCCCGCTTGGGGGCGTGCAAGAGGCCACCAATCAATATTTCTCTTGCTCCCCCTTCTCTCTCCCCTCCCTCTCTCTAAAAATGAATAAATAAAATCTTAAAAAACAAACAAAACAGCCTTGACTGATATGGCTCAGTGGATTGAGCACCAGCCCGCAAACCGGAAGGTTGCCAGTTTGAGGGAAGGTTGCTGGTTGGGGTTCATGCCTGGGTTGTGGGCCAGGTACCCAGATGGGGCCCTGCAAGAAGCAATCGATGTTTCTCTCAAACATCTATGTTTCTCTCCCTCTCTAAAAATAAATAATCTTTAAAAAACTAAACAAAACATGGCTCAAATCGTCTCTCAGTAAACACTCCCTTATCTACTCCCGCAGCACAGCCCGTGTCACAGGACTGGTCCAAGCTCTTGCAGTCTGGGGCCTTTTTGCTTCCACATCTTCCACCACAAGGCTGTGGGCTACTCGAGAGAAGGGGCTCGGGCTCAGCCACCTGTTTTCCCAGGGGCTGGCATGAAATGGACACCAAACAAACCAGGCGCAGCACAAGGAGCGGGCATGTTTCCCCCAAGGAGTACCTTTTTGCTTCCTCAGAGTCCCTCGAAGCAAAGTGGCACAGGGAGTGGCTGAGTCACTTGGCCTATGAAGAAGGAACACTGAATGGGATCAAGAGGAAGCAAGGAGGGAAGCCCTGAACAGCCAGCCCCACAGCCCATCACTCACCAAAACGGGAGGAAATGGGAACCAGCTCCCAGAACACATCTCTTACACTGAAACCTTTTAGCACTCTTATGTTCACGGCAGCTGTTCACTGCAGCGTTATTCGCAATAGCCAAAATCTGGAAGCAACCCAAGCACCCATCAACAGACAAGTGGATAAAAAACCTTGTGCTACATTTATGCAATGGTATATTACTTAACCATAAAAAATTCAATCTTACCATTTGTGCCAGCATGGAATGACCTAGAGGGTATTGTGCTAAGTGAAATCTAAAGCGCAAAACAAAGGGCAATAAACGAATAAACAGAAACAGACTCATAAATAGAGAACAGACTGATGGTTGCCAAAGAGGAGGGGCGTTGCAGGATTGGGTGAAAAAGGGGAACGGATTGTGCTCTGACCAGGTGGCTCAGTTGGTTGGAGCATCGTCCCATACACCAAAAGGTTGTGGGTTTGGTCCCCCATCAAGGCACATACCTGGGTTTCAGGTTCGATCGCTGGCAACCCACTGATGTTTCTTTCACTTTCCCTTTCTCTCTTTCTCTCTCTCAAAAAAAAAAGGTCCATAAATATATCCTAAAATGAGGATTGTTTTAAAGGTGAAGGGATTGAGAAGTACAGATCAGCAGTTACAAAATGGTCAGCAGGTGGCTGTGCAGTACAGCATAGAATACATAGCCAATAATGTAACAACTACAGATGAAAATAAAATTTAAAAATAATTTGAAAAAATTTTTAAAGAAAATAAACATTACGCAGTCCTGCAAAGCCAGGCGGAGACAGGAAAGGTGCACTCACCTGGGACGTGGCTCCCGGTTCATTTCCTGTCGCTGCTGCCTCCTGCTTGTGTCTCCTGCGCTGGAGAAGGGCGGCATCTCTGGAAGGCAGAGCTGGGGGTCGGGGGAGACAAAGGGGCGGTCAGGTCTATCTGCCTCCTGACTGAGCGGCCTGGAGACGCTGCCTACAGGCTGAGTCTCCCACGAGCGAGCCGTAACCCCAAAGGGCTTCCGCAGGTGGAGAACCCAACACTCCGGCACCAGCAGGGTGAGGCCAGGCGTGACGGAGCAGCTAGTACCCGGCCCTGACTCCCCGAGTCGGCCATGGGAGGGGCGAGGTGTCGCGTCTCCGGGACCATGGAAACGGGAGCGTCGGTCCGGGGACTCCCGGCCAGTCCAGGTGGCTTCCTGCACCTGTGCCGGGGTGCTCTGAATTACGTTCAACGTCCGGACTCTGGGTCCTCTCACCCTGAACAGATGAGGTCGTCCCCAGCCACCCCGCAAGGCCACCTGTCACCCTCACCTCTGGTCTCAGGCCCCGTGGTCACCGCTCGCCGCTGGCCCGGGGAAATGAGGCCGTTCCTGGAGCGCGGCCTTCCCCGGCCCCGGCGGACCAGAGAAGCCGGGAACGCCGCCGTCGCGCCTCGGCCCGGCCCGGGCTTTGTGCGGAGGGCGCCTCGCCGCGCCGGGGACCCCAGCTCGTGTGTCCCCGCGCTCCCGGCCGCCCTCGCTGCCCCTCGCATGTCTCCACTAACACACCCACGCACGCTAGGCACCCCCCCCCACGGCCCCCTGCGGCCCAGTCCCCGCCCCGTGCGGACGCGGGAGGACTGGACCTACGCCGCGCAGAACTCGCGAGAGCAGGCTGAGAGCTGCGGCAGGAAGTGGGCGTGATCACTGCCGCCGCGCCCTCTGGGAAACGTAGTCCCGCCACGGCGGTGAAGGCGTCGCGCAGGGCGCGATCTGAAAGGGGCAGGTCTGCTCCGGGGTCACCAGGTCCTCCGCCAAGCCTCAAGCCTACTGGTCACAGCGAACGACAGAGCCGTGCTCCAGGGGATTCTGGGAGTCGCGCCTGGGTTCGAGTGGCCGGTGCAATTGCTAGGCGAGGGCGGGGTCTCAGGGAGAAGCGGCAGGACGGCGGCGGTCCTCAGAGAATCCTACCGCTGACGGAATTGTGGGCAGCAACGCTGGGCAATGCCAGAGTTTAACTTTGTGTGTGACTATGTGTGAGAGAGGGGGACTTCGTGTGCGCGCAGCGCACTTTGACCCCGGTGCTCCCTTCTCCCTGATACTGGGGCCACCGTACTGTCGCACCTATCCTTGAAAGGCGGCTGTCCACGTTACTCAGCGGACGCTAGGTTTGAAGCAGTCCAATGAATTATTAACATCATTGAAGTTACCCATAATGTTACACTTAAAAACCCAAATTATGAGGTATACATTATACTTTATAATGTATATTATAATCTCAATGTTATTATCTCATTTTAATAAAAAGAATAGCTCTGTATACAGATACGTTGACCAAAATGTTACTAGTGGTGGGGTTCTGATTTTCTTTGCAACTCTGTATATTATCTTAATTTAAAAAATAATATTCATTTTCCTCAAACTTTTTCTACCTTGGGTGGCTCCTTGGTGTCATTCACTGGTCGTCTCAGAGAAGGCTGCTCAGCCTCCCAGTCACAAGTGTCACCCCACATGACCTTTTAAAATCCTCTACATAGCATTATCCGGAGTTAGTTCTATTCATTTAGAAGAACACGTCATAGGCGTGCCAGATGGGAAATGTGTTAATGAAAGCCATCATTAATAAACAAAAAATGAAAAAATATCCTCTAATCATCTCAAATATCTTCTCATCTCATGAGAAAAAGGCATCTGATAAAATCCAAGATACACCTGTAATTTAAGAAAAAAATGCTTGTTAAACTAGGAATAACTTCCTCATCAGAATAAAAAAATAAAATTGTTCTAAACCTCTAATACTTTCATTCGGCTTCGGTTAAAATTATGCTTTTTTGAGGTTTAGGGTAGAAAGAAAAAGTGCCAACTGTAGTTCTGTGAATGGAAACCAATATAACAAACTTTGTCTTTTATTGTAAAGAATATTTATTCTTAACATACTATAAAAGTAAAATGGGAAAAAAAGTCTCAGCCCAAGAGTTTAAGTCTTTTTTGGGTTATGTTTTTATGAATCCATCTGAAAGGCAGTAGAGTGAAAAAAATCTGACTTCATCTAACTGAAATACTCAGAATGTGAAATAAAAATGTTTTCTTTAAAAAAAAATCAGTGAAGAGACTTCTGCCAAGATGGAGGCGTAAGTGGAAACACTGTGCCTTCTCACATGACCAAGTTTAAAAACAACAAAGTTTTAGCAACAAAAATGCAGCCAAACCACAGAAAATTGAACTATATGGAAGTCCAACAACAAACCATTCAGCCACACCAGAAAGAGAGGCAGAGCCAGCAGCAGAGTGGGGTCGGGCAGGAAAGATCCACTGGACTGACCCAGGCGAATGGCAGCCTTGGGCGGATCCCAGGTGTGAGGTAGCAACGGGCAGACCCACTGAGGGCAAAAAGCGGCAAGCTGATCACTGTCACACATCCAGGCGTAGATAAACCAGGTGAAGGAGCAAGCAGTGAGACAGACCGAGCAGGCCCCAGAGGTGGGAAGCACCAGAGGGGATCGCCATTGTCCATCTCTGACCCTGCCTCCACATACAGCATCATAACCCAGCGACCTGGGTGGTTCCACCCTGGTAAACACCTAAGGTTCCTCTCCTCATATGTAACAGGCGCAAACAAACAAAACATGGCTCAAGAACTCAAAGCCCCAGAGCTGATAAATCTAGGCGAACAAGAAATTGCCAACCTATCAGATGCATAGTTCAAAACACTGGTGATTAGGATGCTCACAGAACTGGTTGATTTTAGTCACAAATTAGAGAAACATATGAAGGCTAAACTAATTGAAATGAATGGAAATGCACAGGAAACCAATAGTGATGGAAAGGAAACTGGGACTCAAATCAAAGGAGTGGACCAGAAGGAAGAAAAAAATGACCAAACAGAAAAGGATGAAGAAACAAGAATTCAAAAAACTGAGGAGAGGCTTAGGAACCTCCAGGACATCTTTAAACGCTCCAACATCCGAATTATAGGGGTACCAGAAGGGGAAGAGGAACAGCCATGAGTGGAAAACTTATTTGAACAAATAATAAAGGAGAATTTCCCCAATCTGGCAAAGGAAATAGACTTCCAGGAAATCCAGGAAGCTCAGAGAGACCCAAAGAAGTTGGACCCAAGAAGGAACACACCAAGGCACATCATAATTACATTAGCCAAGATTAAAATGAAGGAGAGAATCCTAGAAGCAGCAAGACATAAGGGGACAGTCAGCTACAAAGGAGTTCCCATCAGACTGTCAGCAGATTTCTCAAAAGAGACCTTGCAGGCAAGAAGGGGCTGGAAACAAGTATTCCAAGTCATGAAATTCAAAGACCTACAACCAAGATTGCTCTATCCAGCAAAACTTTCATTTAGAATGGAAGGACAGATAAAGTGCTTCTCAGATAAGATCAAATTCAAGGAGTTCATCATCACCAAGCCCTTATTATATGAAATGTTGAAGGGACTTACCTAAGAAAAAGAACATTAAAAAGATGAACAGTGAAAGGATAGCAAACTCACAGTTATTAACAACCACACCTAAAACAAAAGCAAACTAAGAGGACAGCTAGATCAGGAGAAGAACCATAGAAATGAAGATCACATGGAGGGTTAGCAACAGGGGAGTGGGAGGAGGAGAAGGGGGGAGAAGGTACAGAGAATAAGTAGCATAGACAGTAGGTAGAAAATAGGGGGGAGGGCAAGAATAGTATGGGAAATATAGAATCTAAAGAACTTGAGACACGTGGTCATGAACTAAAGGTGGGGCCCTGGCTGGTGTATTGACACCAGGCCCATGCTCAACCCACTGATCAGTGGATTGATCAGTGGATTGAGCATGGGCCTGCGAACCAAAAGATGGCGGTTCGATTCCCCGTCAGGGCACATGCCTGGGTTACAGGCCAATTCCCAGCAGGGGCCAGTTCCCAGCTGGGTGGGGATGCACCAGAAGCAACCATACATTGATATTTCTCTCCTTCTCTCCTTCCCTTCCCTCTAAAGATAAATAAATTTAAAAATTTAAAAAAAATAAAAAATAAAAAAATAAAAAATAAAAAAAATAAAGGTGGGGAATGGTGGGGGAGGGGATGTGCAGGGGAATGAAGGGGGGAAATAGAACAACTGTGATGGCACAATCAATAAAATATATATTTAAAAAATTTCAAGCATTGCATAAAAAAAATCACTGAAGCCATAATATTGGTAGGCTAAATAGAAAATTGGTTAACCTTCATCCATAGCTATCTCAAGCAATGGAGTCTTAGTTGGCAGGGTTCCTTAAGGTTTCTTGGGGTTTAGAGTTATAACATCCCAAATTCTCCCAAACCCTCATTTCAGTAATTACAATGGTAAGCAAAATAAAACTCAATGCCAGTGAGTTTTATTGGCACTGAGACATTTAGCAATCATACATACAGTGCTACAAGGAAGACATCAACTAGACAACTATATTACAAACATGGCTGCATTCTAGTTCATGCCTTAAAGCGAAAATTTTAAGCTGTCGTTCTTTCTTTCACTTTCTATTACCCAATTCCATATGGACAGGCATCACACATATTCCTTAGATTGGCACATCTTGTACTCTACTGGTTTAAGGCAACAGTGATCTAGACCACAGCTGACTGTCGCTATCAATGCATGCTTTCCTGACATGAAGTAAGATTAGGACCCTAACAACTTTTGCTCCATTCCATCGAATAACAAACTTTAATAATAATCCATATTTTCTGAGGATCTTTTTCATGAAACATACCCAATACTACCAATTTCTCTATTGGTTGGGTTTCCTTGATTGACAGCAAAATAATTTAATCTCATTTTAAAAGGAAAAGAAACTACTGGTGAAATACAATCCGGAAAGAACATGTATCAGGCCACCCACGGCAAGCAGAACAGCAGGAACTTATGTACCATCTTTGAATTGTGGCCAAAGGATGTTCGTATCACCTCCCTCCTGTGTACCAAGGAAAATATGTGATTGAATTAAAGTGAACCCTGTACCACTGCTAACATGAGCAAAACCTTATGGAATGGCATCGAAGTGGGTCAAAGTGGCTCAGCAAATACATTTGTGTAAAATTGTGTTTGTGTTTTTTATTTATATTGTAGAGAAAAATAACATCGGATGTATATGCATTTTCATAGTTTTAACTTTATAATTTATATACTTAAAACTACAATATTATGTAAAGACATTAAATTTTCAATTAATAGACTACAAACACTTTCTATGAATATAGAGATATCTTATTCTACATAATCTCTCTTGAACCAATTTTCCATAATTTAAGTTTACGAGTGTTGGACATTATAGCTGTTCCAAGTATTTTACAATTCTGTAATAAATGTGCTTATGTGTATATCTCTGCACTTGTACCTTTTAAGAAGTGCCTAGATGTAGAATTGTTACAATTAATTTTATTTACAATGTTGACAGTTAACAAAGTGGTTTTCCAACAATTTAGCCTCCCAATGTAAAAAACATCATTTCTCACATCTGCAACAGTACTGGATACAGTGGTATCTAGAAGTTAATTCGTTCTAAAAGGCTGTTTGAGAAGCAATTTGTTTGAAAACTGAATCATTGTCATACTCATTCTTTCCTTTGTCACCTGAGAGAAGTGTGACCCATCACACAGGTATCACCATGAAAGGGTTATAAGTTCAAGAACCAAACTTTTGTTCAACAACTGAGACATTTTTTCCACAAACAACATGGCTGACAACTGAATTACTCAAGGTGGGAGATGTTTGAGAACTTTGGTTTGAATGTATTAATCACCCTGTACATTCACATGGGTTGGATGTTAGTGGGGACTTTTAAATTTTGCACTTACCCAGTAATTAGTATCATTAAGGACTTTATTTTATTTGGTTGTTTAAGTTCTTCATGGAAGAGCTGCTAGTTGGTATACTTTGCCAGACTATATCTTATCCTTGCGAGTTTCCAATAGCACTTTTGATGAGGGCTACATCCTTTATGATATACATTTGAACTCTCTCTCAGCTTTTCCTGTACCTGTTAATGTTGCATACAGTGTCTTATACCATGGAAAAGGTTTAAACTTTTTACATGGTCCTACATGTCACTTTTCTTTATGGCTCCTAAACTCTGTGTTCTGTTCACCAAAGTCTTCGTCAACCCAAAATAGTAGAAATATTCCACATTCTGCTCCTGAATCTTCATATTGTGTCTCCTGTTACATCTTTAATCCATACTTAATGCAATTGTCTGTAAAGGATAACATGCCGATCTGACTTTACTTCTAGTTAGAGAACTACTTGTCAAACAAAATTTAAATAATCCATCCCTCCCAATGACACATCAAAAATACCATTTTTGTAATTTACTAAATTCACGGGTTTGTGATCTTCTTCAAAAATTTCTTTGAAGTGCCTGCCCAGTTACTATCCTACATGAATTTCAGAAGAAAACAGTCAGTGCAGAAATATCATACAAAGATAGTGCCTGCAATTAAATGAATGTACAGACATCTATACAACGTTGAAACTTCCAACTAAAAATCCGTGTAGATCTCCATTTATCCCAAGTCTCTGTTCTTCTTCAATAAAGGACAATAATTTTTCTTCTATATATAACTGTAAATTCATCTATAATTTCATTTTATTCTGGGGTTGACCACAGATGAATTAGCCTCATGACAAAAAATGTAGTATTTCAAATATATTTTTCTATACTTTGTAACAGCTTAATTACTGGCAACTTGAAAAGGGGCTATTTAAGTTCTCTATTTCTTTACTTTGAAATATTAATAATATTTTTTTCCAGACTAAATATTTATTTTTCCCAGCAAATTCTAATTCATTGTTCTCGTCTTATCCAGAGCTCCAAACATGACCTATAACATATACTATGCATCAAAGTAGTGACTTTGTTGCAAAGTAGTGACTTTCATTGGTGACTGAATTTCGTCACCAACAGAAGAACACAGCCTCAGACTCATGAGGAACCCACTCTAACTGTGTTACAACACCAAGCTTTAAACATAACAAGGCTAATCCTCATTATCCATCAAAGATGGTGTTTGAGTTCCAAAGCTGTTATGATATCCTGGCACTGATATACTGCCTTCCAGAGTTTCTGTTTTATTAAAACAGACTCTTAAGAATACTGACCCATCATTAAACAAGCACTAAAGAGTCAAGTGCTATGCTAAGCACTTTATATGCATTGACTAGTTTAAAATTTCTTAATAGGCCCTGGTTGGTATGGCCCAGTGGATTGAGCAACGGCCTGTGAACCAAAGGATTGCAGGGTCGATTCCCCATCAGAGCACATGCCTAGGCTGTGGGCTAGGTCCCCTGGAGGGGGCACATGAGAGGCAAGTACACGTTGTTTCTCTCCCTCTTTCTTTTTCCCTTCCCCTCTAAAGATAAATAAGTAAACAATATTAAAAAATAGAATTTCTTGACAGGGTTTTAGGAGAAAAGTAATATTATTACATTTACATTTTAAAAATAGCACTGTGGTGGTAGTGTGAACAATGAATTTCAAGGGAACATAAGAGAATGCAAGGAAACAATTTCTTATACAATTGGAATAGTCCAGGAAAAAGGACTCTGTTTTGGACTAGGGCAATGGGAAATGAAAGAAGTGGATGAATTCCAAAAATATTTGGCAGATATATCCATAGGACTTGGTGGTATAAGGGATGAGGAAAAGCTGGCTGCCTGAGCAGACTCTGTAGCATGAATTTTCTGATGCTGAGCAAGGCATGCACTTTGTCTGAAGGTATTTCCACATTCCTTACATTCATAAGATCTCTCTCCAGTATGGACTCTTCTATGTAGATTAAGGTGTCCAATCTGGCTAAAGGTTTTCCTACATTCCTGACATTCATATGGTTTCTCTCCTGAATGAATTCGGTGATGAACAGTAAGGGACTGACGATGGCTAAAGGCTTTGCCACACACACTACATTCATAAGGTTTCTCACCAGTGTGACATCTTTGATGACAAATGAGGGATGACTTTGTCCTAAATGCCTTATCACAGTCAACACAGACATAGGGCCTTTGGCCAGTATGAAGTCTCTGATGCTGAGCCCGAGATGAACGATCACTAAAAGCTTTTCCACATTCAGTACATTGATAGGGTTTCTCTCCAGTATGAACTCTCTGATGTTGAACAAGGCAGGTAGTCTGGCTGAAGGCTTTACCACATTCATTACACTCATAGGGTTTCTCTCCTGTATGAATTTTATTATGTTGTACAAGGTGTATCCTCTGGTTGAAAGATTTACCACATTCCTTGCATGCGTAGGGCTTCTCTCCAGTATGAATTCTCTGATGAGTGGCCAGCTGTGAACTGATGCTGAAAGCTTTCCCACATTCCTTACATTCATAGGGCTTTTCACCAGTATGAATTCTCAGATGACTAGCAAGGTGTACACTCTGCCTAAAGCCTTTCCCACACTCCTTGCACTCAAAAGGTTTTTCTCCAGAATGCACTCTTTGATGCTGAGTGAGTGATGCGTGATGGCCAAAGGCCTTCCCACAGACATCACATTTGTAAGGTTTCTCTCCTGTGTGAATTCTCTGATGTACAATAAGGGATGAGCCATAGCTGAAGGTTTTCCCACACACATCACATTTGTACGGCTTCTCTCCACTATGAATTCTCCTATGTTGGTTAAGTCCTATGTGATCACTGAAGGCTTTTCCACAGTTGACGCATTCAAAGGGTTTTTCCCCAGTGTGATAATATCTCCAGTGACGAATAAGGGATGTGTTCTGTATGAAAGCTTTCCCACATTCAACGCATTCATAAGGTCTTTTGCCAGTGTGACATCTTTGATGTCGGGCAAAAGAGGAGCCATCACTGAATGCCTTTCCACATTCCTTACATTCATAGGGCTTCTCCCCTGTATGAATTCTCCGATGCTGAGCAAGGTGTGCAGGCTGGCTGAAGGCTTTTCTACATTCCTTACATTTATACGGTTTTTCTCCAGTATGAATTCGTTGATGTTGAATAAGGTGTACATTTTGGCTGAAGGCTTTCCTACATTCTTTACATTCGAAGAGTTTCTCTCCAGTATGTATTCGGTGATGTTGAGCAAGGTGTTGACTCTGGTTGAAGGCTTTTCCACATTCTTTACATTCATATGGCTTTTCACCAGTATGAATTCTGTGATGAACAGTAAGGGATGACCTCTGGGTGAAGGTTTTCTCACATTCGTTACATTTGAAGAGTTTCTTTCCTCCACTGACTCTTTTGTGTTTCTTTATCATGGAATTTTTGGAAAAACTTTTTATATCAGACCTCTGATTAAAATCATTCTCTCCTGCATAATCTAGATGGACACATTTCCCAGAGTTGTTGTATTTATGGTCTATTTCATAAGTAAGGGTTTTTTTGTAAGTGAGTGTTTCTTGTCCAATAAATGACTCTTGACTTACCAGGTGGCCCTCAAAAAAATCTCTAGCTTTCCAGTTTTCTCCAAAAACGCAATGTTCAAGTCCATAGCTTGTAATGCTCTCCATTAACACATCATCATACATGCATGGCTTCAGAGATAATTCTTGTGTCTCATAGCTAGATTCCCAATCTGAAAGACAACAAAAAAGCAAGTGTTTTCTTTCATGGACTATAACAAAGGAAATATTTAACATGGAATAGGTGATTCAAAAATAACGAATCCCACAAAATGTATTACATATGGGCATGTCAACTAAAAAATATGCAAGAAGATCCCAGAGACTGAAAGATCACAGAGGAATGTGAAACAGGTGATTAAGAAAATTAAATGTAACATAATGAGGTAAGTTACCTTCCTCAATTCTCTACTTCTAATTGATCTGCATAATAGCTTAATTATTTTAAAATATGAATATCATCACAAAAACATTCCTACTGATGTTTGAAAACCTCATTCACAACAACCACAAAAATCATATGCTTTGTGATGTCCCTTGAGGTTTAGGTGAACTGGAGTTAACTTTTCACACACAGAAAATAGTACCCCTGTGAACCATGTCTATGTGCTTCAATGCAGTGCACTATTCATTTCTCACACATCTTGAACTTGATGTGACATAATAAAAAATTTTTTCATTCATCTTTTCACTTTCTTTTTTTTTTTTAGATTTTACTTATTTTTTTTACCTTTTATTTTGATTTTTTATTTTAAATATTTTTTATTTATTTTTTTAGAGAGGGGAAGGGAAGGAGAAAGACTGGGAGAGAAACATCAATGTGTGGTTGCCTCTCACACACCCCCTACTGGGGACCTGGACTGCAACCCAAGCATGTGCCCTGACTGGGAATGGAACCAATGGCCCTTCTGTTGGCAAGCCAGTACTCAATCCACTGGGATACACCATCTTTTCACTGTCACTAGTCCAGGAAAGGTGTCACTTCTCAAGCCACATCTTAACAGGATTCCACCATGCGTTCTTCTGAAGATACTAGTTTTATAATAATATGTAGGTTGGCACTACTATTCTTTTTTTGTTTTATATATTTATTCATTTATTTTTAGAGAGAGGGGAAAGAAGGAAGAAAGCAAGGGAGAGAAATGTAAATGTGTGTTTGCCTCTCACGTGCCCCCCCCCCCCCACCGGGGACCTGGCTTGCAACCCAGGCATATGCCTTGACTGGGAATCGAACCGTTGGCCCTTCGGTTCATAGCCCACACTCAATCCACTGAGCTACACCAGCCAGGGCGAGCATCAGTCTTATTAGTTTCATTTTTTTTAACTGACACAGAAGTATCTTTCTTGCCTTGTTATCTAGACAATGTCTTTTTTAAATTGATTTTAGAGATAGAGAAGAGAGAAGAAAAGAGAGAAAGAATGATTTATTGTTCCACTTATTTATGCATTCATTGGTTGATTCTTGAATGTGCCCTGACTGGGGATCAAACCCACACCTTGGCACATCGGACAATCTTCTAACCAACTGAGCTACCCAGCCAGGCCTAGATAATGTCTTGAAAAAGGAATAAATGTGCATAAACATCAGACTCATTTGGTCTCCAAGGCTTAGAAACTCCTATCTTACCTTAACATACCTATAATATACTTGAAACATACCTTAGTACCAGGCATAGTTTAGAAAACTCTGGACTAACTTATAATGGAAAAGCTAAAAAGTGAGGCTGGAGAAGTAGAAAATTGCTCATCACATATGGCCTGATAGAGTTTGCATTTTTCTTATTTGTAATGGGAAACCAAAGAAAGATTTAAAGCAGCAGAGTATAATTGCAAGTAGCACCTACCTAATTTTAGATTAAGAAACCTCCAAGAAACCAAGAAGCTTATATATGTCTCTATGACAAAATGAAAGAGGAGATAGCAAGGAGCCAGACAAAGAGTTTTGCAAAATGGGTTATTACACAGGAGAGCAAGTAGAAGAGATATGAATAGCCTGTGTTAAGGAGTAATATTTCAGCCATCCCCTAGGGCCTGGAAGGCTTGAGGAGACTTCTAAGAGGCATAAATGAGAGGTATCGCCTTTGAAAATGGCTGAGCTGTTACCTAGAAAGGATTCCCCTAGTTGTCCTACACTCACCTGGGAATGAGCTTGTCATCACGCTCTTCACGTCCCAAGGCTCCTTCCCTTGCTCCAGTAAGGAGATCAAATATGGCTTAGAAATGCAAAGTCCTGTATGTGAAAAAAGACATAAAAATTGGCTATGTTTTGGGTATTCCAGAATAAAAGCCAGTTCCTTAATGCTGACAAAAATAACAGGATAGGAATGATTAGGGAAAGGAGTACACCACATTTTTAGGCCATACTACCTAAAGCTTCAGTTGTAGTCTAGTGGAATTGCCAGCAGTGAACTCTATAAAAGTTAGACCATTTTCTAAGGAGTCAGGGGCAGAAATTTAGCCCAGCATTTTTAGAGGATCATCTGGTAGCAGTAAATAAATATTGGAAAGAACCTCTAATGGCAGTTTGAAATTTCAGTCAAGTTAACTGCTTTAAAAAAAAAATCAATACTCTTCCAAGTGTGTAACAGAATCTATAGTCTCTACAATATGTTACATTACCTATAGCATCCAGGATAAAATCCAAAACAGCAGACGTAAGAAGAAAGAGAAAAAAGTGCCTCATACACAGAAGAAAAGGCAATCAGTGGAGATCTAAGAACTAGCACACTGGGAATCTAAAATAGCTGTTATGTCCTGGCTGGTATGGCTCAGTGGAATGAACACCAGACTGTGAACCAAAAAGTCACTGGTTCAATTCCCAGTCAGGGTATATGCCTGGGTTGTAGGCCATGTTCCCAGTTGGGGAGTGCAAGAGTCAACCAACCAATCAATGTTTTTCTTATTCTCTTTCTTCCTCCACTCCCCTCTCTCAAAAAATAAATAAATATACCCCCCCCAGGACTTCTGCCAAGATAGAGGCGTAAGTGGAAGCACTGTGCCTTCCCACACAACCAAGTTTCAAAACAACAAAGTTTTAGCAACAAAAACACAGCCAAACCACAGAAAATTGAACTATAGGGAAGTCTGACAACAATGAACCCCTCAGGCAAACTGGTAAGAGGGGCAGGGCCAGCAGCAGAGTGGGGTCGGGCAAGAAAGATCCACTGAACTGACCCGGGCACGCAACCCAGGCACGCCGGAAGCCATGGGCGGACCCACTGAGGGTGCAAGGCGGCAGACCCACTGAGGGCGGACCGTGGTCACACATTCGCATGCAGATAAACCGGTGAAGGAGCGAGCAGTGAGATAGACCATGCAGGCCCCAGTGGCAGAAAGCGGCAGAGGGGACTGCCATTGTCCCTCTCTGACCCCACCCCCACATACAGCATCACAAACCAGCAACCTGGGTGGCCCCACCCTGGTGAACAACTAAGGATCCGCTCCTCATACGTAACAGGCATGAACAGATCAAAACATGGCTCAAGAACAACTCAGAGCCCCAGAGCCAATAAATCTAAGTGATGAAGAAATAGCCAAACTTTCAGATGCACAGTTCAAAACACTGGTGATTAGGATGCTCACAGAACTGGCTGATTTTAGTCACAAATAAGAGGAACATATGAAGACTAAACTAATTGAAATGAATGGAAATGCACAGGAAACCAATAGTAATGGAAAGGAAACTGGGACTCAAATCAAAGGAGTGGACCAGAAAGAGGAAAAAAATGACCAAACAGAAAAGGATGAAGAAACAAGAAATCAAAAAAATGAGGAGAGGCTTAGGAACCTCCAGGAGATCTTTAAATGCTCCAACATCCGAATTATAGGGGCACCAGAAGGGGAAGAGGAACAGCCACGAGTGGAAAACTTATTTGAACAAATAATAAAGGAGAATTTCCCCAATCTGGCAAAGGAAATAGACTTCCAGGAAATCCAGGAAGCTCAGAAAGTCCCAAAGAACTTGGACCCAAGAAGGAACACACCAAGGCACATCATCATTATATTAGCCAAGATTCAAATGAAGGAGAGAGTCCTAGAAGCAGCAAGAGATAAGGGGACAGTCACCTACAAAGGAGTTCCCATCAGACTGTCAGCAGATTTCTCAAGAGAGACCTTACAGGAAGAAGGAGCTGGAAAGAGGTATTCCAAGTCATGAAATCCAAAGACCTACAACCAAGATTGATCTATCCAGCAAAACTTTCATTTAGAATGGAAGAGCAGATAAAGTGCTTCTCAGATAAGATCAAATTCAAGGAGTTCATCATCACCAAGCCCTTATTATATGAAATGTTAAAGGGACTTACCTAAGAAGAAGAAGATTAAAAAGATGAACAGTGAAAGGACAGCAAACTCACAGTTATTAACAACCACACCTAAAACAAAAGCAAACTAAGAGGACAGCTAGATCAGGAGCAAAACCATAGAAATGAAGATCACATGGAGGGTTAGCAACAGGGGAGTGGGAGAAGGAGAAGGGGGGGAGAAGGTACAGAAAATAAGTAGCATAGACGGTAGGTAGAAAATAGATAGGGGGGAGGGCAAGAATAGTATGGGAAATATAGAATCTAAAGAACTTGAGACATGTGGTCATAAACTAAAGGGGGAGAGTGGTGGGGGAGGTAGTGTGCAGGATGGAGGGGAATGAAGGGGGGAAATAGAACAACTGTAATGGCATAATCAATAAAATATATTTAATGAATAAATAAATAAAATCTTTAAAAACATGGAGGTATTGTATCTATGTTTAATAATGTAAAAATTCTCAGCAGAGAAATACAAACTATAAAAAAGAACCAAGGGGAAATTTTAGAATTAAAAAATACAGTATTTGGCCCTGGCTGGTGTGGCTCTCAGTAGAATGAGTGCTGGCTGGCCTGTGAACCAAAAGGTTGCTGGTTTGATTCCCAGTCAGAGCACATGCCTGGGTTGTGGGCCAGGTCCCCAGTGGGGGACGCGTGAGAGGCAACCAAGTGATTATCTCTCATGTATCAATGTTTCTCTCTCTCTCCCTCTGACCCTCTCTCTAAAAATAAATAAATAAAATCTAAAAATACAGCAAAAATAAAAACAAAATGCATAGGATAAAATTCAACATCAACTCATAATTTTATTTATTTATTTATTTATTAAAAGATTTCATTTATTTATCTTTAGAGGGGAAGGGAAGGAGAGAGGGAGAGAAATATCAATGTTTGGTTGTCTTTTGTGCATCCCCTGCTGGGAACTGGCCTGCAACCCAAGGCATGTGCCATGACTGGGAATTGAACTGTGGTTGTTTGGTTCACAGGCCCGCACTCAATCCACTGAGCTACTCCAGCCAGGGCCAATTCATAATTTAAAAAAATCCCTTATTTAAAAAAAAAGTACAGTATTTGAAGTTTTAAAATTTACTCCATGGGGTTAACAAGATATTAAAGAGGATAAAGAAATAAGTGATCTAATTTGAAAAACAGAAATATTTTACAAAGTAAAAAATCCTTAGTTTCTTGGGCACAATATCAAACATATTTGTAATCAAAGTCCCAGAAGAAGACAGCTGAAAAAATATTTTAAGACTATAAAGGCCAAAAATTTCTCAATTTTAATAAAAGACATAAATTCAGTTTCAGATGCTCAGTGAGTCACAAGTGGGACACAAGGACCCTCTAGAGAACAGAAAGCTAGTCTACCCAATGAGCTGGTCCCAGGCCTGAGAAGTATCCATGTTAGTTTCCCTGATTACAAGTGAAGCCATGTTCACAGTTTGCACTTCAGTGGTTCACTTGTTACATGTTGATAAAAAGATACAAATTTTAAAATTGATATTCTAAATTTAGAGTAATCCAGCTACATTCTTGGTGAACTTTGTTACTGCCTACTGGTGATAATACCGTAGGGAACAAGTGAGCACAGGAGACCAGTAACAGTCACATTATTGCCTGTGGTCCCAATTGCTTAAAAATTATACCAATGGAATATCTGATAATCAAATTCATGAAGTCTGAAATTTCCATTAGTCCCTAAATATCCTCTTTCTTCCCTGATTCTATTCTGACCTACACAATATAAAAATTTTATTCATAACTAAAAATGTAAAGAGCCCCTAAGCATAAATTCTGAATTATGCACAGAAGAAAAGGCCCTCACCCAGCGATACCAGGTTCTGATAGTTCTCCAACATCATACTCCTGTATAAACTCCTTTGAGCGGAGTTCAGACAGTCCCATTCCTCCTGGGAAAAGTCTATTGCCACATCCTTGAATGTCACCAAGTCCTGAAATGACACAAATACATTCTGGATTAAGCAATGTCATGTCCACACATGACTCCAAGCTGAAGTGTTAAGCTGTCCCTACATTATGTTAGAAATAGAACGGGAGAGGAAGACACAAGCTTCAACCTAAGACGGCGCTGACTGAAGTGTTAAACTGCATTGTGTACAACTATACCAACCCATTTCTCGTCACTGGGAAATGTCAACGGGTGGCCACAGGCTTGAAGCAGTAAACCAAGGCTTCAAGGCAGGACCTATACCTATGGTGGAACTTTCAAAAACAGTAACAAAAAGAATATCTAAACTGATGCTTTGCAGATGGTACTCTATAGGATTTAGTGTTCAGGTAAGAACAGCACTGAATTGATATAGGTGATTTTTTTTTTCTTATACAATTAGAATGATACATATATTTCGAATGCAATTAAAAAAAAATCATCACCTGAGGACATGTTTGTATTACTTTTAGAGAGAGAGAAAGGGTGAGAGAAACATCAGTGGCTTGCCTTCCACACACACCCTGACGGGGATGGAACTCACAACCTCTTGATGCACTGGATGATGCTCCGACCGACTGAGCCACCAGGCCAGGGTCTAGAATGCAATTTCTTATGCTATGCCATACCAGAGTAAGCTGGGAAGCAAATGAGGAATCACCCAGCGTTAAACATTGAGATAAACATTGATCAGGTGCCTCCCATACGCTCACAAACTGGGGCTTGTACCTGCAACCTAGGGATGTGCCCTGACCAGGAATCGAAACTGCAACCTTTTGGTGCATGGGGTGATGTTCCAACCACCTGAGTAACCCGGCCAGGGTGAAGTGTGTATTTTTGTACTACAAGATCAAAAACAAGTAAAACTGAAATTAGCCCAGCAACAAAATCAAATACACGCAGGAATTTAATGCAACATGTAGGTGTCGAGCCAAATCAGTGAGAAAGAGATCACTGAATAACAGCTAGTGGGTCAACTGGACAGGCAACTGAAAAAAAAATGAAACTCTGCTTACTTATCATGATAGATTAAATATTTACTATAACTATTTTTTAAAGATTTTATTTATTTATTTTTTAGAGAGAGGGGAAGGAGAAAGAGGGAGAGAAACATCAGTGTGTGGTTGCCTTTTGAGCACCCCCTACTGTGGACCTGGCCTGCAACCCAGGCATATGCCCAGACTGGGAATTGAACCAGCGACCCTTTGGTTTGTAGGCTGGCACTCAATCCACCAAGCCACATCGGACAGGACCATTTACTGTAACAATTTAATGTAAACTCAAATTAAGGTAATTTGAAGCCTTGTCCTCATAGGAAAAATCACAAAAATCAACTCTCAGTTTTTCAGAAACTTAACTGTGACAGGTTTTAGGTGGAAAAATAAAATATCTACATTCCCTAGGGGTAATGGAAGTTTTTCGAAACAAAACACTAACTATGAATGAAGAGAAAACAGTATCTCCCTATACATAGACTGACCCTGAATGAAATGGAAGCTGAGAAGTTACTGTCTCATAAGGGTGGAACTAGGAGGTAAGAGGGAAGATTGAAGATCGTTTAATTTTGTTCTAAGTTCATTTATTAAATTTTGAATTTGGAAAAATTCAGTAGGATGTAATTTTTTAGGTGGACAAATGAGGCTGGGAATTCATATGTAGAAACTTCAAGAATTTAGGGATAGTCCTGGCCAGGTAGCTCAGTTGGTTGAAACATCACCCTGCACAACAAAAGACTGTGGGTTCGATTCCTGGTCAGGTCACATAGTTTGTGGGTTTGATCCCCAGGCAGGGCATATACCTAGGTTGGAGGTTGCATCCCTGATAGGGTCACACACAGAAGGCAACCAATCAATATTTCTCTCTTACATCGATATTTCTTTCCCTCCCTTCCTCTCTCTCTCAAATCAATACACACATCCTGGGGTGAGGGTTTAAAAAAAGGAAGAAATTTAATTTTACAAGAAGATTTTAGGGATATAATTAGAAGTTTGGACAAAATTCAGGTGGAGGGATGATTTTGATGTATTCTTTGAACTGGAGAGGGCTATTTAATGCACATTTAACTTGTGCATTTAACTTGTGCAATAGTGAACTCAGCTCACTATTATCTTACTAAGATCCCTCCATCTATATACGGAACGGAGGGAAATAGCCTTCTTCTGTTCATGATGTGAGAAGAGGAGGTTGTGTGCCTCATCACACCATTCCACTTAACCACCAGGCAGTGTAAGGACAGTGTCCTCTGGGAGAAGTCATCCCCAGACCCTTGGACAAGATGGTTCATCAAGGAATTTCCCAAAGAAAAGAGTCATTACTAAGTCCTAAGAAGTAAGAATGTGTTTCATGGTGGAGAAAGGAAATAACTAACCTGCGGTATAGTTTTCATTAGTTCAACGGTCATTTTCACCTTCTCTTCCTGTCTTCTCTCGGAGAACAGTAGTGTCCTGGGAGGGCAAAGCTAAGGGAAGAGAAAGGATAGTGAGTGAGGCCTGCTCTGCACTCCCAGAATCACCAGCCTAGCATCTGTCTTCCCCTCCCACCTTCCAGCTTTCTCTTGCTCACCAAACTGGGAGATTATGGAGACCTATGGCTATTGAGGGGGGTGCAATGTATAACTGTTTCTCTTATGTTTGAGGTTCAAAATTTAGTGTTTCTTCCTAAAAGTTGCCTTCCCATTCTTTGGACTTATAACAAATAAAAATAGCCCTGGCCAGGTGGTTCAGGTGGCTGGAACATCGTCCTGGCACCAAAAGTTTGTGTGTTCGATTCTGTGTCAGGGCACATACCTAGAGCAGGCTTCATCCCCAGTAGGGGCACTTACAGGAGGCAGCAGATGTTTTTCTCTCTTCCCCTTCCTCTCTTTCTCTTAAAATTTTATTTACTTTTTAGAGAGGGGGGAAAAGAGAGGGAGAGAAACATCAGTGTGTGGTTGCCTCTCCAATGGCCCCCACTTGGGACCTGGCCTGCAACCCAGGCATGTGCCCTGACCAGGAATTGAACCAGCGATGCTTTGGTTCACAGGCGGGTACTCAATCCACTGGGTCACACCAGCCAGGACCCTTTCTTTCTAAAATCAATTAACATATCCTCAGGTGAGGAGTGAAAATAGTAACAATAATAATAGGTGTGCTAGATACTCTACATAAATTATATTCTTTCACTTTATTTTTGAAACAATCCTTTGAAATAGTTATTATTTCCTGTACTTTGCTCTCCCTTCCCACTTTGTGGTTTGACACAGTTTAGAGTTTTAAAATCTGACTCCTAAATTCCAGAGGCCAGAGTTACCCTCCTTTTATCCAAACCCCCACAGGCTTCACTGTCCTCTCTCCTCTCTCTCTGGAACAATGGATCCCTAGCACCCAGTTCTATCACCTTCAGTCTCACCTGTCCTCAGCTCTTTGGTTTCCCCTCCTGCCTGTCACCCAGAACTGAGATGAGGGTATCACCTTCACTTAGGAACTCTAGTTGCCATATGTTTTCTTCTTAATTCCTCAAAATCCTCACTGCAGAGTATATTTACTGCTTTTATAGAGGGAGGAAGGTGGGGAGAAAAAGAGAAACATCAACCCACTGCCTCCCAAACGCGACCGACCTGAGATGTAACCTGCAACCTTTTAGCGCACGGGAGGAGGCCCAAACAAATGAGCCACGGGGCCAGGACTGGTCTCTCACATTCTAATTGGCTCTTTCCATCTGTCCCTCTCTTTTAAAAAATTTTTACTTATTTATCTTTAGAGGGGAAGGGAAGGTTGCTTCAATGTATGGTTGCTTCTCGTGAGTCCCCTGCTGGGAACTGGCCTGCAACCCAGGCCTGTGCCCTGAGTGGGAATCGAACCGCAATTGCTTGGTTCGCAGGCCCGCGCTCAATCCACTGACCTACACCAGCCAGGGTCCCGTCTGTCTCTCTCTTATACACACAATACACCCTGGTCTCTCACACTCAGACACACACACACACACACACACACACACACACACACACACACCGATCTGTCACACTTGGATACACACACACACTTACATAACCGCACAGGCCGGACACACAGACCGTCTCCCCGCTCACCGGTCTCTCAGGTCTGTCTCTGTCCCACACCGCGATCTCTCCCGCTCAGTCTCCCCGGGCCGCTCACACTCGGTGACCAGTCACCCACGTCTCTCACACTCTCCAGCCTCCACACGTTGGCCCAAACCCGGATCAGCCGCGGCCTCACCACCCTAAGACCCAAACACGCTGCGCGTGGGCCGCTGGGAAATGTAGTCGGCTCAGGGACACCAGCTTAGCGGCTCCAGTTCTCGGGCCTCTACCGGCCTTGCCCGGCCCAGCCCTCGGGCTCCAACTCGCGACCACCCGGAGGACCCACCAGTTCCGCCCTGGAGGTAGCTCTCACCGGAAGAACGACAGGCGTCGACGCCCAGACTCTGACTGCGCAGGCGCCGAATCTTGAATCTCGTCGGGTTCGGCCTACGAGGGAGGAGTCTGGTGCGGGGGGCGGGGACGGGGCGTGGCTTAAAGGAGACGGCTGCTGAGAATGGGAGGTGAAAGGACGTGGCACCAGTACGTCACACAGCTCGTAGGCCCTGGAATTCCCGAGCGCGGCGGAGCTGCGCGCGACTGTGCTCATCCGTTTAAATGTAACCCCTTCCATCTTACCCTCCCGGGCCTTGGAGACCAAAGCGTCCTTAGTTACTGCATCCAAGTGCTGCAGCAGAACTGGACGAAGGACCGCCGCGCCCTTGGCGTGCCCCTGGTGTGCCCCGGTGTGGCTTTGTAACCTGTGACTGCGTAACCGCCTTGTCCTTCGGATCTGGCCGAGGCCGAGTCTGTCCCTGGGAGTGTGATTTTCTTTCTGGGCTGTTTTCCGACACTAAGAACAGTGACTGGAAACCTTGACTGTTTGATCAATTCTGTGACTACAGAATTGAAATGTAGTGTCAGAACAGAAATGTCAATTAGTACATTTCTCGCCTGTAAAATGGAAATATTATTATTATTATTCGGAGATGTGATCTGACTGCGAGGATGGAACCCCGTTCTGACCCTTACCAGAGTGGAAGTGGCGCCTGGTATAGGGGATTCGTATTACCTTCCTTGGAAGGTGAACCTAATAAGGAGGGAGGGGAGTCTTTCAGGCTCCAGCAGAGGAGAAAAACAGGTAAAATTTTGTGCCCATTTAGGTCTTATTTTCAAGTGGATGGAGACAAACCACAAATGAATGAGTAAAATCAATAGCAAATCGCATGGTGAAAAGAGCAATGGAGAAACAAAGGAGAGAAGAGGAAGAGAGAGTAGAGAAAATTCAAATGTTTATTGTCAAAAAGTGAGTAAAGGAGTAAGAAACAATGAAAGTCATCCAGAATACCAGAGCTTGGGGCTGCTGCTAACACCATTAACATTTTTAGCCTGTAGCTCAATACATATTTTTCTTTCATACCCAAGTTGAGATTTCTATACCAAATAATTTAGAAAAACGGAATTATATGGTGACTGATTTTTGAAACATTTTTTTCTCCATTGTGTCTCAGGACCATCTTTTCATACTATGAGGCATTTTTCTTTAGCTCAATTTTTAAGAATTGCAACGTAAAAAGTATTGATTACCATAAGTGATTAAAAATGGCTATCGTTGGGTTCAAAATCCTGAATACTGAGCAAATCTTCACCTGCTTCTTTAGTATTTCATGTCTTAGCTACTTGCCCTCCTGTTGGTGCAGTGTGGATGCATGGTGAGTAATTATTCATTTCTGGGATCAAATTTTCAGAGATGTATAAACTACAGAGGATTGTACTGTTGTTACTGGAGAGCTACACAAAGCATCAGGGTTACATTCTCCTACTTCACCCTCTTGTTCTACCCTGCAGCTCCCTAGCATCTTCCACAGAAATGTAACATCAAAACAAAAACTGGACCAATTAACGTTCAGATAACAGATATAAACTGCACAAAATATGAAAAACATTTCCCTGAAAGCATCAGAGAGTGCCCAGAGGACAAAAAGAATTGAAGAAATAATCAAACCATCTCTAGCTTAAAATTGCAGATTCAAAAAGCACAGGAAGATAAAAGCAGGATAAAAACAGCTAAAATCACATCAAGGAATGTTATAAACAAACTGCTGTTAATCAAAGATAGAGGAAATTTTGACAGTAGATAGAAACAATACTGTGGCTATGGGGGAAGCACGGCATGAGTTATTGTTGACTTTTCATCAGAAATGATGGAAGTCAATGAAAAGACTTCTTTAAAGCACTGGAAATAAGGAAAACCAATCATCAACTGAGAATTCTATATCCAACGAAGTAACAACATTTTCCGGTAAAAGGCAACCAAAAGAATTTTTCATGAGCACATCTGCATATATATATGTTAGGAAAGTTCCTTAGGCTGAAGAAGAATAGTATCAGATGAAAACTTTCAGAAAGAATGATGCAAGTTAATATTAAATTCTCTTTCTTCTATTTTTCCTATTGTGGCAATGTTGGTGGTGGGAGTGCCGGGCAGGGGCGGGGGGGGGGGGCTGGGGGCGGGCAAGGAGACAAAAAGCCTCATGTTGCCCCCACCATCCAGATTCCATTCCCTCACTCCCTCTTGAAAGAAAAAAAAAGTGACTGAATTCAACTGGTAGGGTTGACGCAATGTTTGCAATAGGGACTGAAAGCTGAAGTGAACTTGATTGTATGTGTAATGAGAAAATAGCACTATCTACCATAATGTTCCATTAACATGCTTTGTAATTATTGTACTGTCTGATATGACATTCTCTATTATTTGTTTGTATGTGTATTGTCTAACTCCCTTGCTAAAAATATATCCGCCATGGGAATAGTTCTGTTTGTTTTTACTTCTGTTTACAACAGTTTCTGTCACAAAGCAGGTAACAATAAATAGATGTGGAATAGATGAATTTTTAAAAACTCATGGGTTCTATGCCTGATCTGTAAATGCCCACCAAAGATCTGAGGAGATTACCCTATTCCTAGATTTCCTCGTGTCGAAACGTTACCTGTCCTCTCTCAGGCGATCTGATGAAAAGCACTATGAAATCCCCCAGATTAAGTGGGATCGGAAAGGTCATATTAGGTGAAAATACTTTTGCGGAAGCGTCGGAGGCTGTTTCGCAGTGCAGCAGCGCCACTGTGTGGGCAGAAGTACCAACTACAACAGCTCTGTATCCTGGAAGCTGAGATTTTCCTGGTAGAGGCCTTGTTTATTCTCCGTCCTGCTGACGCCTCCACTCAGGGGCAAGAGAACTTAGAGGGAATGATTAGAGAGCAAAGGAGCCGAAAGACATAGCTGGTCAAATTTAAACGGTATATTCGGGGGTTATGTCCTCTCAGTTTTAGATGAAGGGGTGGCAGCTACCTTTTCAGGAAAATTTTACCCCTTTCTCCTCCACCCCTCTTTAGGACTCTCTTTAGACAGTATTTCAGTGTTGTGTTTTGTATTTTTTTAAGGTTCTCTTGAAATGCCTGGACCTGATTCAATGATGCTTCGACTAAGAGAAAAGCTGATGGTCTCTGCCCACCGAGGCAGCTATGCAGACCCATGCTGCTGAGGGCGGCCAGCAGCCTGGGCTGAACAAAATGACCTCAGTCTTGCCACAGACAATAGTCTAAGAACCGGACCTTACGACACCCTAAGACTCTGGCGGAGGAATGGCCCGACAGTAGACATAAGAAGGGAACACCGAGTTTATTAGAAATTTTACGTACTTTAAATGCCACGGCGGTTGTCCAAAGAGGGGGAAATACAAAGCTAAGCATATGACTGTTAAAATAATACTAGGATCTTAGGTAAGTCTTCCCGCACCCCTCCACTAAGAACCAGAAAACCTATTTTATATAAAATAATAATTCCTCATTACTCAGCCATAATTAAAAATAGTCTTGTCATTTGTGGCAACATCGATGGACCTAGAGGGCATTTTGCAAAATAAAATCAGTCAGAGAAAAACAAACACCATATGATTTACTTATATGGGGAAACTAAAAAACAAAATAAATGAACAAACGAAATAGAAACAGACTCATAGATACAAAGAACAAATTGGTGGTCACCAGATGGGAGGAGGGGGTTAGGTGAAAAAGATGGAGGGATTGGGCAGTACAGATCGCCAGGTATAAAAATAGTCACAGGGATGTAAAGTACAGCATAGGGAATACAGTCAATAATATAATAACTAGTGTATAGTGTCAGGTGGGTACAAGAATTTTACAGGGGGGATCACTTTGTAAGTTATATGTGTCTAATTTCTATGTTGTACACCTGAAGCTAATATAATATTGTATATAATCATTTACTTTTAGTTTGTTCAACTCTATAGAGGTAACATTCCTGTTGCTACCGTGGTTAATATTTAAATATAAAAATGTAGATCTTTAAATAATTTACTACCACACACCTGAGGGACACATCCACCACTGTGAATGTACCAAGTGCAGGGACAGCAGGGAATTCATTTTGGGGGCAGTGTCTGAGCTGGGCCTACCAGCCAATGAGGTGAGGGATGGCCTTTCCAGGTGACCGGAAACCTGTAGCAGGAACAGAGTCACACAGTGTGGCGTTCCTGGAGCTTTTGCAGATGAGAAGGGAGCTCTGGTGGGGCGGCTCAGTTTGTTGGAATGGCCTCTCATACACCAAAAAGTCGTGGGCTGGATCCCACATAGGACACATACCTAGGCTGTGTGTGGGTTTGATCCCTGGTCAGGACACATGCAAGAAGCAACCAGAGAATGCATGAATTAGTGGAACAAATCAATCTCTCTCATATATATATATATATATATATATATATATATATATATATATCCCATGGGAGGGCCTTAATATCACACATCATGAAAGAAAAACCAGCTATTATGCATAATTTCCAGATGTGGTTTGAAACATAGGTTGGAATCAACTGACCACAACTACACCTGAAGTTCCTCCCACACTTCCTACAGTTGCTGTATTTTAAAGATCTCATCACCATTTTTACCACCTATGAACAAAAATCAAGGCCAATGGACAGAAAAGAATGTCTCTGGGGACAAATAGGAGGTCT